TCCTGGCTTGGCAGATGCTTTGGGTTTACTAGGAATTAAGTGTTTTTCACTTGAAGCTGAAATTTAAAAAAAACCATAAAGAGTATGGAAAATGATTGCCAAGGAACACGTTGCAATCACTGCCCAAAAGGAGTATGGGCTTGCTTGTCTGCAATTAGGCAAGCCATATATAAGCATGGATGAAAATCAAGCAGTGTGAGCATTGAAGAAGGAGGAAACACACAGCAATATGTTCTGGTCCATATGTAAGCAATATTGTGAATTTTACCTGGTTGGGTTAGTCATCCCAATTTTACCAGAATGTCCAGCTTTGGGTGAAGCAGAGGAGAGAATGGTTATAAAAAATAGATGCAGCATATGATGAAATATAGGGCCTGAGCATGCTAGTCTCAGAAAAGACAATTTGGACACTAGTTGCTCAAATTCTATTGAGAGATTTTCTCACATAACTCGCAAATGTGTGCATCTTTGAATAGAATTTGATACCATATGATCTTCCTGACATTCCTCCACAAGTGTTTAAAGTTACTCAAATCTGAGTAATTCTCTATGCTACTCAGTTCAAAATTCTTTCCTTGCAGGAAGTAGTCTGATGAAGAAGATGTTCATAAACAGATAGCACTTGTGGCCTATATACCTGGGGGTCTATGATGCTCACTGGTGTCAAATCTCTTAGAAAAGGAAGAAAAAGAATGGCCTTAGAGAAGGCCAATCAACCCCTGCCTGGAAGTTTGGCTATCTAAAGCAATTCAAATAAGACATGAGACAAGTTCACATTCTGGAGAATCTTTTCCCCATTTGCATAGGATCTCAAAGTGTAGAGTCGCAAACACCTATCAAATGACTGCTAATGCATACTTTAGGTATTCATCCTTTGGCTCTTTCAGCCAACAAAGGGAACACTGTTTTGTAAAAAATAAGATAATAGGACGAGTTTTTCATTTTTGAAGCAAACAGCATAATTCAGAGATTAATCTACATATATTACTGAGAAAGAGACCGGGTTAATTTACAGATATTACTGATAAACCTTAGCCAATTTCTGATGACAATGTAGATTAGCAATTAAGACTATTAGATGCTTCTAGTGATTAATGCACTTTCCTACAAGAAGCATCCATTTTTGTTCTAAAACAAACAGATTTTTTTCTCTAGTACAAATTGCGTTTCTTCCCCTAGTCCTGAATTAAGAGTTTCATTAAGTTCATTCAGATGCTTTCCTAATCATAGGGCACATCTACACATGATGCTATGTCACCATAGCAATGTATTATGGCAAAGTAGTGTCCACAGGCATCTACACGTGACCATCAGCTATTTCGCCATAGCGACACGCTCCCCTGGTATAGCATGCTGCTATGGTGAAGTAACTGCTAAAAATAACGATGCACCTCACATACAACACAGCACAGGCTGTTACTGCGCCATGATTTAGTACTTCCAAAAGGACTTAGTACTAAATTATGGTACAGTAACAATGTTGCCATAGCAACACATGTAGATGTGCCCATAGCCTAACACTGAAATTCAGAAAAAAAGATATTGTGGTTGATTATTTAAACACTCACTGAGCTCCTTCCTCAAGAGGGGAGATTGGGAGTCAATGAAGGTGATGGGAGAGATGGGTCTGAATTGCTGCTTGGAGCTGTGAAGATATTGTACCCAATCTGTTTTGATTTTTGAATGGACTATGACTATAGTTTTTTAAATTATCTCATATGAAATTGTGTAATGGGCTCAGAGTCTGGCATAGGATCAGGAAAAAAATTAATATGTCCCTTCTGTAAAAGTTTTTTGAACTGAATTTATGAGTACCAGGATATAGTCTGACCTATTTGGAATTCAATTTCTAGACATCTGAAATAATATCTATACACACGTCTGTTCTATGAACAACCTGTATTCTTATTTAAAAAAAAAATCTCATAAAATCATGATCCAGAGTATGGTTGTCAAACTTCTGAGGAGCTGAGAGCTGCACACCATGTGGGCCACTCCATCCCCACTACTTTGTGCCAATACCCCATGCTGTGCTGGCCCCTCCTGCCATGCCATGTGTGCCCTCCCTTCTTTCACCCTGTGCCATACAGTGGGAGACCTCTGAAAGTGAAGTTTAGCCATATTGTCAGTCATAGCTAGAAAGGATCCATCCTTTTAGGCTAGGGACAGACATTACACATAAACCAGTTTAAGTGATCAGAAACTGGTTTAAACCTGTAACAGAGCAGATGTTCAATGCACGTAAACCAATTTAAAAATGTCTGAAACCGGTTTGAGATAAACCTGGTTAAATGTAATATCAGACTTAACTGATTTGGGTCAAACCAGTTTATGCAATGTCTGTCCCAGACCCCTTCCTGGTTTAAGTTAAACCAGACTCCCCCAGCATCCTGGCATGTGCTCCTGGCTGGGTTCTCTAGTCCACAGCAGAGCTCCCCTCTATTCCCTCGTCGGAGCTCCGGCAGAGACTGCAGGCGTCTGCCTGGGTTCCTCCTGCTCCCCCACTCCTTCCCTCACCAGTCCCTGCTCAAGCAGGGATTGCCCCCTCCCCTCTACCTTATACAGACACCTCTCAGCATTAGCTAGCATACCACATTCTGGCTATGGTCCATGTTGTGGTAGATGGGACAAAGGCAGACTGGACTGTGTCCTTTTTGGAGCTAATCAACAGGTAGCTGGTAATGTCCCTCCTTGGAATGTTTCCTTTCTTGGAAAAAGTTGTTTAAGAAGAGCTTGAGCTAGTGAGAGGGGATTTGTTTTCTGATGGTGTGTTAAATGCTGCTAACAATGCTGATAAATGCTCTGTGATCATGGTGGGGGAAGGGGACCCTCCCTAATCAGAGCATCCTGCCAGGGCTTAGCTATGCCCCCCTCAGCTCAGCACTTTAGAAGGGAAGGGAGGGCTGCTCTAGTACCCTCTGGCTTCTAGCCTAAACCACTTCAGGAATTTGCCTGCATTTCTGGGGTGTCTTTGTGGTTACAAACCGGTTTAGTCTAGCCAGGTTAGAGTAACCTGCAAAGATTGAATCAATTCAGACTCAGGCTTTTTGACTGTCTGTCCCAAGTCTTATTCTATTGTAGAGTTGAAGAGACTAACAACATAAAGAATGTCAAAGGCTTTGATTAAAACACTTCTTCATTTCCACACTGTGCTAGCAAGCAGACAGAAATGATTTATAAGTTAAACTGTGTATTTTGAAAATTAAAATGTGATGGGCATATAAAGAAGAGAACTGAACCATGAGTCTGATGAAATAAAGATTCACCAAAGCCTGGAATGACCTCAAGTTTGTTCCTGATTTTGCTGGGTGATGAGATGGGGAGGCTAAGAGGCTGGTTGTTTCAAAGAAGGTCTCAGAGACGCTAGATTTTTATTAAAATAGGAACTATGGATGAAGTAGGATATGCCACCTCAGAGGCAGTTACAACAGTTTTTGTGCCCTGGGCAGTTGTGTCAGCTAGCTAGCAGCAGCAACAGCTGCTAATCATGCATCCCTTCTAAGTATTACTGTCTTGTTTCCAGAGTTTGAGAAATAATGGAAAGATACAATAGCATTCATTTTTAAGAAGCTAACTAACTATGAATGGATAATGAGAAGTAGCTGTATTCTTGGAGGCAAGCTGGAAAGGCACACTTCTAAGACTGGAATAGAAATCTAGAACAGTAGTTTTCAACCTGTTGTCCATGGACCCCTGGAAGTCCACAGATTATGTCTAATGGGTCTGTGAAAGATGAATATGAATAATTACAGTTATAATTCAAAGAGGTATGCACCTCCATTCAAAATGTTTTGGCGTCTGCAAATGAAAAAAGATTGAAAACCACTGATCTAGAGAGTACAATAACCCCAGGCAGATGTTATCCAACAGTTACTAAAGGTTAATTATAGTATGTGGTCCTTCTAATAGGAGAAAGGTAGGATATACGACTACTATTTTTTCCCAGAAATACACGAAACTGAAGTAGATTCCTTTTCCTTCATGTCTTTTCAAGCTCAAAGATTCAGGCTGGGGTAGAAAATGAAGTGCTGCGGCCTGAAAGATGAACAGCAAAACAAAACTCTGTGTTCAATGCCAAAGGACAAGTGTGCATTTAGAAGCAAAGAAAAGGCTGATTAGTTCTTATAGCATGAAATAAGCTTCTCTTTGGAATATCTTCCATGATGAGAATGAAAACAGCGGGGTGATTATTAATTGAATTACATTATTACCAAGCGCTGCCTTTGTTTGTTCAGGAGTTATAGTAGTGACTGGTTCTTGGAGGGATGGAATGATTTCGGCTGGAAAAAAATTGGAGATAAATTCTGAAAGAGATGAACAAGGTATATATAAACTATATCAGCTCAGGGGGTGTTTTATAATTGTAGCAGGCATTTTCTCTCAAAGATTTGCATGGCATTAGAGGTTTTATTCCAGAGAACTTCAGGACTGGTTTTCTAAAAAAAATGTTTAAACAAAGATTAAAGCAGCTTGATGGCACTACACTCAAATATGTTGTTTTCTATTGGAGTGAAAATTTTCCTTAGTAGGTTTTCTTTATAAATACAGGCTACAAAATTCAGGTCTAGATGTAGGTTTTCCTAAAAGGTGAAAAACAATATGAACTAGGGTCTTGGTTTAGACCTATCTTAGTATATTATTGTGTGTGCAAGGATGATATAGGCTGACTTTTTCATATGCCTGAACAATTAAATGTATATCTTCATTTTCCACGGCATACCTAATAATAAGTATATTTCAGTGGCTGTTACAATAGTTTCTGATCAGGTGCCTTAAAATTAGAACTGGTCAATATATTTCATTGTGTGGAAGAGTTTTCTCACCTAAAAGTGAGACTCAAAATTGGAATTTACTTGAGAAAATGTGGATTTTGATGAAAAATATTGGTTTTCCTACAGCAAATTTGCAAGCGTAATTTTTCTTCTGAATTTATTTGCAGGACTTAGAGATGCATCCAAAATGTTTAAAGTCAATTTATCCATTTGGAATGAAAACTGTCATCTTATTTTTGGCTTAAAATGTTGTTATACTGGAAAACAGACATAATGTCTAAAGTAAAAGAACATTTTTCTTTCTTTCTGAAATATTGATTCAGACAGAGTGCAATAAGGTTCTACTGTATGTTTCTTTTTCTACAGAAAAGCAGAGGCATAACTATATAGACATTGGATTTATGGTGCAATATAACCTGCCTGCCATGTGATAACCCTAGGTAACCTGCCTGCATTTTACCAGTTACATTTTATCGCCAGTTCTACATTCCTCTGTCCCCCACCCCCAACCTGGCTCACACCTATTGTCTCTCATTCCCTCAGATCCTCGCTGCCATGCATTTGCATTTTCACGGACCTGCATTTTACATATTGGCTTTTATTCTACCCAAAATAGCACACTTTGGCTGCCAGCCAGGCTAAAAGTGCCCAACCTGGCACCACTGCTGTCCTGGGAGGCCCTCAGAACCCCAGGGAAGGCTGCTAGGGCAACCTCCCCTACCCCACCTGGGGCAATTTGCCGTGTGCCAGAGTGCACATGCAGGGCAGTGTCTGGGGACAAATAGCAGTGCACAAATATGTCCCACAGTGAATGTGCACCCTGCACATGCAAACTTATGGGGATGTACCTTCTGGGTGTATCTACACATGCATATTAATGCACAGCAATAAACTGTGGCACATACTGTGCTGGAGTTTATTGCTCCCAAGCATCATGCGTACAGATGCACCCAGGACCACAATGCATTGAGCCAGGTTGGAGCAGCCCCAGCTGGCAGGGGGCCCAGAGGTTCAGCATTAGGTGACATCCAGAGAAGGCTGCTACAGCACAATGAAACAGGTCACTGGCACCATGTACTGCATCTGGGAATGGCTGTGTGGTCTGGCCCAGGATTTAAAGTACCTTCTGTGTCCGATGGTACCCCCAAAGTGTGGTGAAGTGCCAGGTATTGCATATCCAGTCCAGGTGGTGAGCATGGTACTAGCATGCACACCTGGTTTAACTCTCAGTGTACACCACTCTACTCCCCTGTTTTACTTGCTCTAGGACCCCACTCACTTCTAGATGTCCCAATACAATGTGTTCTTTTACGTTCATTTTGGCAGTCATGTGAATCTGGCACATCAAAATATTTGTCTGCTTAATTACTGTTTCAGCAGGTTGCCAACATTTTCCCTAGGAACACAGCTGAGAAAGGGATAGAAATAATCTTTAAAAGTTAATTCTTCAACTGAACCTGAATGAAATCTCATGGCACAAAAAACACACACACATACACTTTTGTAGTCCAAGGGCTTTCTCCCAATATTCATGGTTTACTGCAAACAATGGAAGTGTTTTTCACATCTACCTTACACATATCTTTTCTAATTAAATTTATGAAGCAGCTTTGTTTAGGGATCACTGCCACTTTCCCTCATGGAAACATTTGTACCAGGCACTGAAAAATGCAATTAAAATCTTGTTGCTTTTGTCAGACTGATTCCCTAAGTGCAGTGACATGGAAGCTTCAGTTATAAAAAATGTTACTGGTATTTTTATTGTTGCCATAAATTAAATCTATTTTAAACAGTCTGTTATAGAAGAGATGGTAACATATGAACCTCATCAGCATGATGAAATGCAAAATCATTTACCAGGTTTGGTCTGTGGTACGTCTAGGGTAGGTGATGGTTTAGGCTTGGAAGGAACATACTGAGTCTCTTTTGGAGCTGAAAGAAAGAACCTATTGTAAGCACTGAAAGTTTCCACGCACTGGTATTGCATGTAATGAGCCTGTATTAGAGAAATGACTTTTTTTACATGGATAATGAAGAAGTCTGAACATCAGATTCACACAGGAGTTTAAAATAAAAAGGCCTTACATGTGAAAGCATCTGAAAAATGATCAAGCAAGTAAGATCCTGTTCGGAGCTAAGCTGAACAAGAATGAAGAGAACTGTAAATATAGACAGATGTGACTGCAGGATGGTTGAGATATTTCCATCACACCTTATAGCTGCAATGCGCAGGGCAGTCTCTTCATGCATGCTTAAATCCTAGAGATATCAATGAAATTATGATGTATGCATGAACTGAAGCAAGGTTTTTCCTGTGAAGAAATCAGAGCAGCTAAGAATCTCCAGTTTCAAATGGTAGGAGAAGCTACAACGCAAAGCAGAATGAAGTTTAATGGTAAAAAAGCAATGGTGTGTGAGTAATGGCATAATCTTGGTCCATGGAAGAGAAGTGGGGAAAATGACCAACCTTTAAAGGTAACATCTTTACCTAATGTTGGCTTTGGTTGTTCAGTTGTAATTGCAATAGGTGCCAAAACTGTACCAAAACACAAAAATGTATACAACATTAATCATAAGAATTACCTAAAAGGTAGAATAATTCCCTTTAAAATTATCAAGAACCTTTGAATAATAAAAGTTTGCTCTCAGTTGTCAATGTATATTTAATTAATACACATTAATTCAAGTCAATTAATGGGCGGAGTAGTACAAGCACACCGGCTCAGCATTTGATAAGGACCTCCTAGGTTAATAATTTGAATTCTCATGCTATGTATTTTAGAAGCCAGGCTCTGCCCTCAGCTGCATTGCCCTCACCTGCATGCTTCAACATGTGGATCTTCCTTAGAAGCATCTAGAGTCAATCTAGAGCTGTGCTCATATATAAGGGCATAAGATAGTCCTTAAAGTTTGATCGATTTTTTCTTTAAAATATTTTGATAGTCTTTAAAAGAAAAAAGTGACTCCAATTTCTCTTTTGAAACAAATTATTTTTAAAAAAATTGACCTGACTCCCCTTTCTTATAGGTGTGTCGTTGCTGAAAAGTAAGACTGTTTATGCCCCACAAAAATCCTGCCATATGTAAATCCAAGGACATACATCTGATAATTACCCTCACAATCCTTTCAATCATCCACCTACACATGTTAAGAGGTCTGCTGCCCCTATCACCAACATTTTTAAAAATCTGTTTACAGGTCAAAACTGCAAATACAACACAGTGGCCTTTTTAAGTGAAATAAGAAACTTCAAAAGAAGAAGAGGCTGAAAACTCTTAGGTAAGCATCAGTTTTGGCCTCTTCCATTCAATGTTGTGATGCTACTGAACATAGCTGTTCAGTAATAGCTAAAAGACATCACTGAAGTGATAACATTGAAATAAAAATGACTGCAAAGGGAAAAAACATGGCAAAAATCATGTACTGTTGAGTTACTGTGAAGTGTTTTTATCTGGATTTTGCTTCTGATAGTGGAAGCAAGACATAGCAACTTTCAGCATAAAACTATTTCTACTATGCAACTGCTGCTTCAGTAGCAGTACCACACTAGGAGGGATTGAGTCTTAGGGCATTTATACACATGCTCTGGGAGTGAGGTTGGGGGGGGGGAGGGGGAGGGGGTGCTTTAATTAGAGCAGCTCTGAGAGCACCTGGAGCACTGCAGGCACCTGAAGCATCATATGTATTAGCATCCCCGTGCTGAAAAATGGTAGCGGGGGTGTTTTAACTAAAGCTCATCAAAAGAGGTTTAGTTAAAGTGCCACTACCACCACATTTCAGCAAGGGGACACTGATATAAGTGATGAGGAACTCTACTGGAGCGTAGTAATTACCATCCAGTAATTATCACAGATTTTATTAATCAAGTCTGCTCATCGGAGCAGCCTCGCTGCACATGTATAGGTGCCCTTAAAGACTGAATAATCGCTTTGGCTTTTTAGCATGCAAAGTATTAGCTAGTGCCTGTGGATGCCAAATTAATTGCCCAAGAATCAGTAAGGGCAATAACCTGGAAGGAAGTGTTCTGTGAGCTTTAAATCTAGTTAAAGTAAGCATCAATTATCAGCTTGGTGTCTGGTATTGTATTAGCGTTAAACCTGGTGGATTGCTCCTTTGAGCATTCAAGTAATGAGTATTGCTGGGTGCAATAGCAGCTCTGTACTACTCCCCACTTTGCTCTATGGGCAACTGAGCATAAATCAGAGAAGCATGAACACTGGGATTGAGGTTAAAAACCACCTTTGTTGTTCCCTCACATCTCATGAATCCTCAGCTGTTCTAGAGAATCTGAAGTGACACACACACACATGAAGTCTCCAAATACTTGGAATTGCTTCTTTTCATTTAGAATTAATTTATAATTCTGTTCTGCAATAATTTGGATACATACTTTTTTTTAGCTACTTTGCCTTTTCAAAAGTCCTTTTTATGTTAATGAAAATTTCTAAAGCACCCAGATTTTCTTTTCTAGAAAACATAAGGAGATATTCTCTTCTCATTTCAGTTGAACTTCAAGAAGTTTGTCAATCTTATTGGAACCTAAAGTGACTTTGTGGGAAGTCAAATAATAGGAATTGCCCACCAGGCAATGTGTACTCCATAAAAACGTAAAAATAAAGCTTCTTAACATTTTTCAGAATGTGGTATTTCATCTTATTTAGCAACAGGTTCCCTAAAGTTCTTTAACCATTCATTTCCTAACACCAGAAAAAGTAATCATAACGTCTCTGTGAAATTCATCTGAAGACATCAAATGTGACATAGTAAATGGCAGCTACTTTGCATCACAGCACTGGTAATAGATTAGCTTTAAAACACTCTTGTCTATTAAGGAATAACAGCTAAACAAACAAACAAACAACCCCTTGATACTAGGACAGCAAAACAATGACAGAATTACCAGTTTTTGCCTGTGGTACATCTGGGCTGGATGTTGTTTTAGGTTTCAGTGGGACACGTCGAGTCTCTTTGGGACCTGCAAGGAGAAGCAGAGTTGTAAAGTCAGACAGATAGACTGCCAGGGGAGGTTTCTTTAGATTTTCCAGAAGGAAAATTGACACTTTCCCAGAGACAATTTTGCAAACCTGTATCTTCCACTGAAATAATATGGATAGAAATTTCCCAACTCTAATACTGGCCCTTAAGGTGCCATTTAAACCCATTTAAACTACAGCAGAGGTTAGGGACTGAAGTGCTCTTGCAAACCAGGGTAGGCCTTTAAGACTGTTACTCCTCCTACTCTTGTATAGCTAAAGATCTCCATTTCTTCCTTCTCCCATTGCTCCTAACCATATTTGCTGTATTTTCTAAGTACCTATTGCCCTCTTAAGTCAGCTTAGCCCCAAAATACCTCCAGTCAAACAACAGAAGCAGCAAAAACATGAAAATTCAGAGTTCACATTTAGATGGGTTGTTTGGGTTTTTATTTAGGTAGTGTTTTTTCTGGAATTTTGCCAGTTGCTATTAGATGAAGTAGTCTCTTGAAACTATAGATGTAGGACAACTGATTAAAAAACATCTTACCTAGCCTATGGAAATAGAGACAAATATCTTCCTATGTGCTAGGACACAAAAAAATAAAATTATCTGCTGTTATAAATTGAATCACTGTGCATTTACTATTATGTGTGACTATTTATTAGCATTATCTTGTTCCCTGACAGCTGTCAAGCAGAGGCTTGGTAGAATACATTTCTCCTTGTGCCATGCAGAGCCCAACAGTTCATGGTGAGAATGTTAGAAAACGAAGAACTTCACCGTACTGAGATACAGACTCACCAGCTTTGGTTGGTGGCGCTCCTGGGCTGGGTACTGTTTTGGAAGGTTTGGAGTATACACGCCGTGCATCTTTAGGAGCTGAAAGAAAGAACCTGATTTAAATATCATTAAGAATGAGACCCTGATGCCAGCCATAGCACAGTGTGCCTCAGAACCTGCAATGGGGATAGGATCATTTTTGCATATGTAATTGTTTACAAGCCAAGTGGTGCACAGGAGTCTGAAGAGAAGCAGCAGCAGTGTGTGGAAAAGCATCAAATAAGCAAGGTCCTGGTCTTGTATTGAACAGAGCTTTTAAAATAACAATAAAAGAGGTAGTTTGAAACCAAAAGGAAAAGACAGAATGAGAGGATGATGGAGCTATTTAATGTTGTGGTAGAATGATTCACAGCTGTGTGTGTGATAGGTCAAAGGCTGAGCGAAAAAGGCCTGCAACAGACCTATACTCTCTCCAAAGATCGCTTAAGTCTCTTAAATTTGAGGGTTTGAGTAGGACTTAAGTAATGTATAGTCCTTTTATGGACACTCCACAACATGGTGAATTTCAACCATTACTATATTCCTATGAATAAAACAAAGAAGGCAACAAACAGACTTGAGAGTCAAATTACAAATGCACAAGAAAGGCAAAAGTGAAAAGTAAAGATGGGAATTGTGAGAGAAAAGTAATGGAGTGATTGTGAATGAATTATATTCTCTTATCTTGACTATTCTGTTAAGAGGGAAAAATATATATGACTATTCAATCTGAAAACTGCTTTACCTAGTGTTGCCTTTGGTTTTTCAGTTCTAAATGTAATGGGTTCCAGCACTGCATTAAAATAATGAAAAATAAAAACAAATAGCACAATAATCATAGGAAATATTTAATTAAAATTCATCTTAGCCTTATTTGCAAAGGATATTTTAAAAACAGACTTGATTATCTTGTAGATTAATTAGATCTCACTTGAAGCACTTTTGTGGACTTGACCTTAGATGTGCATATTCAATTCTCACTGAGACAGTATGCAACTATCACCTAACAAAATGGTATTCACATCTTACTGTTCACCCATGAATTAGATTCAAATCAGTTACTCAAAGTAGAGCTGGGCTGCCTTCCCTAGGTACTTTGAGTAGATAACACTAAAGTATTATGCATTAAGACTTGCACTGTGCCCTGTCTGGTCCTGCATGGATATGTAAGGGGGGCAGGGGGAGTGGGGCAGGCAAAAAAAGAATCCAGTCTCCCCCTAAAAGTGCTAAACTTAGGTATTATACAAATCCAAGAGCAGTATCTACTCTTGGCATGAACAGGGTTAATAGGAAGAGGCAGGGTGAGGGCAATTCCATAGCCCTCACCGCCTCCCAAGTGACTGGCAGAGGTAGATATCCATAAGAGTAGTCCATATAGCATCTACCTAATGTGTACTACAATGACTGTGCTTCTCTGAGATGCAGTGTCTCACAGAATATCTGCTGGGATCCTGCATCTCAAAGCCACTTCCAACACAAGGCAGTACCTACAAGGTATGCCAGGTTCTAAATACAAGTCTAGGGTCTTTTGTAACCAATTACAGGGATATTTCATGTGGCTTTTAGAATTAACTTGGTGTGAATTTCTAGCTGCTTTACATTTGGATTTTGAAGCCTGTAGACAACAGATCTTTCATTTCTTACATAAATTGATTTTATAAATGAATATAACACAAATGGACTACATAAAACAAAGGCCTTGTGTAGAATGGGTTGCTGAAATATGAATGATGAAAAAATAAAGGCTGTTAGTAGTGCCTTCTCCTTCATAACAAATTAATGTTCACACCTATACCTCTTTTATCCCAGAAAACAGTTCTAAACAAAGATGTCACAAAAAATAAACCTTAGATGAGCTAGCAAATAGACAGAACCGAAAACAGGGAGAAGACCCATACAGTCACTACAGATACATCACTGAAGGCTTAACTATAGATAATTTTACATTTTCTATGCAAGATACTCAGCTGTGAAAGTGACAGGTTGAAAAAAATGACCCCCAAGCCATAGATCAATAAAATTAACTTACTGGGAAGTTTTACAATTACATAGAGAATATATCACCAAGTGGTGAGGGTGGTACTTCCCCGTGGGACCATTTGCTGGTAATGGATTAGGTCTTTTAAGAAATGCTCCAAGACAAATTCAAGACATGCAAATAAAACTCACTTGTTGTAGGTGTATCATGTATTACACATAGGTGAAACACCAAATTGACTGTGGTTGAGTTAATGAAACACGCACCTCAGTTTGAGGAGCTGCAAAATGGTATTTACCAGGTTTGGTTGATAGCATCTCTGGGCTCTGCGTTGCTTTAGGTTTGGAAGGAACACGTCGTGTTTCTTTTGGAGCTGAAATAAAGAACTCAATTATTAAAACAGTTTTCCAGCCATCTCTGGCTAACATTAGGCATGATACACACAGACAAAACATGCCTCTGGGCCCCACTGGAGTAACAAATATCCTTTGTGAGTAATAAAGAAGAATGAAAGTTGGGTATGCAAAGGAATTTAAAAGGAAAAGGAGTTGTGCTGATGGACATTCTCTGTAAGAAAACCAAATAAAGCAATGGTGGGACTGCTTGCCAGTTTTGGAGCTGAGTGTAAAAAACCCCAAAATGACACTATCATGAACACAAAGATGGCTGCAGAAAGACAGGGCTGCTTTCAACTTTTCTAGAAGCAAACTGTTTCACCAGAACTGCGTTCCTGTGAAGGAAAAGCAAGGTGGATATGAATTTTTAGTGCAAAATGGCAAAGACACCTAGAGTACTAATAAAAAGAAAGTCAATGGTGAAAAGTAATGGTGGAGGAGCATACTCAGCCAGAAGCTATGGTGTAAACATCATGAACAAGAAGGAAAAACAAGTGTGGGAATCCCCTCAGAAATGTGATTACCTATTGCAGTCTTTGGTCGTTCTGTTCTAAGTGTAATACGATCCAGGACTATATTGAAAACAAGAAATGTAAAAGGATTAATGAAAAAAAGGGAATAATTCCATTAAAATGTATCTAAGTCTTGTAATTATGCTTTCAATTGTCTACCAGCAATTAGTCAATTTACACAAATTATTATATTCCAGATAATCTACATTAAATCTTTATAATAGACAATTAGGACCTAAACAGTTGAGGGGGAAAATAGTTCCCTAAAGCACAAGCCAATATTTTTCAAGAATCTCCCTATGGTCTTAAAAGAATGCCTACATTTACTTCAACCCTAAGCCAGGAAATTGGAGCTCATACCTTGCAGCTTTTTCCTGAGACATATATTTGATATGAAATTTGTAAATACAACTGGCTTTGGAAACCCTCTTTTTTGTCCATATTGTTAGAATTAGTTATTTGTGCATTGGGCAACATGAATATCACAGGCCACATATTAGCTCTACCTTGCATGCAGTTAAAGGTGAAACAGAACACCTGCTTTTCACTCTGTTTTCCAGTTTTATGTGCAACAGGTACTTGTGGTCCTAAGACTCAATCATTATTGCAGTCCTCCCCAAAGAAATGCAAAGGCACAACAAAAGTGACACCTCTTCCTATGCTAACTGTTCTTTATGGGTAATACCAAGAAAATGAGATGGTGAGACAGATAGACATCAGTTCAGAAATAACATTCTGTATCTTAGTGCAGCTCACAGAAATGATGATCAGTACATAACTGAAAATTATAATAAAATGCTTACAAGGGATATACAATCTTCTCAGTTTTGTGATGCTAATTAACACTATTTTTCGTCTGAGGAGGACAGATGAATGCAAGTGTAATTAAAGACGGGAGAAAGACATTGCCAATATATATATTCAATTAAATAAAAGTTTTATGTGAACTTGGAAGTTGCAGAGAGTCTTTCTGCAAACAGCTACAATGATTTCAGGATTTTAAAAGTCACTCTGTAGCTCAGGTTGGATTTTTTCAAAGCAGATCGTGATTAGTAAGGGCTTTATTTTGAAGCCCACTAACATGGCACAGTGAATCTATCCACTTGGCTGGGCACTCATTAGTAAGTTAAGCTGTGTGCACTTATGAGCATGACTGTCTATTGACAGTGTCTTGAATACCCCTGTGGAATAACTGTTGACTTTTCTGACTACCACTAATTTTTATTGAATTTAGATTTATTGACAATATAAATAAATACTAAATGCAGAGTATCATTGAAAATTGAATGGTTATATATATTGATACTGTAAGTCCAGTTAAATATTAACTGTTGATTTGGTAATTTACTCACTCTTCCAGAAAAGACTAAGAGATATAACAATTAGCAATAGTAGAAGCCATAAAGTTGTCTTTCTTTTTAGCAGTTCAGTAAGCAAAATTTATTTGGTAATATCTTTTACTTGATAGTAAAATTAACTCTATAGTTGGGACAGATGTACAAGATTTGGGGCACAAAATGCCCTTCATCAGGTCTGAGAAAGTCTAAACTATGTATTTAATAATGATGCAAAACAATTTGAAGAAATCTACAAATACATCTCCAACATACCAGATATTCAGGTAAAAGTACAATGAGATCTGATACAATATGTGCATGGCAGGAGGTGTGACGGTGAGATTGAGCATCAAATCCCATCGTGCCTTATTGCTGGCACAGAAGGAGCCCAGGCTCCTCCTGCACTGGCAAATAGACAGCTTCTGCAGTGAGCAGCCCCCTTCAGCTGATGGGGCTCCCAGCTATGGGGGTGCACCATGAGCTCCTGCAGATGGAAGCCCTGTCAGCTAATCCATGCTCCCTGCTGTGGGACTACATTTCACCCCCATTGCTGGAAGCCCTGTCAGCTGAGGGGTCTCCCCGATGCAGGAGCTTGATACTGGTTAACTGGTTAATCACGTCTTAAGTGTAACGTGGCAGGGGCCTAAACTTCATTCTATTTAATACTTTATAACATTTTAGTCTTAATTATACTGGTATACATTGAGAGTAATTCCACTTTAATTCAAAGCCACGTCAATATAACATAGGAAAGACTTACGTAAGGTTATCAACAGCTAGTGAATTTCTGTTATTGTCATAAATGGCTAACAAACAATACACCTATCACATTACAGCAGAGCTTCATCTTATTGCTATGATTCTGAGTATGTTTCAAATCACTTAGAGAAATAGCTGCTTTGAACTAAAGCTCAATATTCAATAATATTAGCAAATAATTTACCAGGTTTAGTCTGAGGTATGTGAGTTTTGGGTGTTGGTTTAGGCCTAGAAGGAACATGTTGTGTTTCTTTTGGAGCTGAAAGAAAGAAGCAGGGTTATAAATTGTTATTTAGCACTCCAGGAATCTGAGGTGATGCCAGGTGCAACAAGTAGTAACACAAGAATATGGAATACCTCAAGCCTGAAATGGAGAAAGAAAATGGAGTAACACTGAAGGCAAAGCCAAGTGTGCAAAAGAGTTTAAAGAAAAATATAGCATTATGTAGAGCTGAATCAGCCTAAGCACGTGAATGGAATTCCTGGTCAGTTTTGGAGCCCAGCTTAAAAAAACAAACCCAGCAAAGAATAAATGTGCTAGCACAGGCAGATGGTGATTCAAAACCAATAGCCTTATTGTCTTAGAACGGAGACATTTTACCTGTGAACAAAACAAAATGTTTAAGACCCTTCAGTGTCAAATGACACATCAAGGAAAAATAGTTGCAGTTTGATGAAAGAAACTGATGGCGCAAGAGAGTAACTGCACAGTGGTTTTCCATGATGAGAAAAACAAAGTATGATTGCTTGCTACGGAAATGTCATTACCTATTGCTGACCTTGGTGGTTCAGTTCTAAGTGTAATAGGTTCCAGGACTGTATTAGAAACAAAATAACAGAAATAGCATGAAAAGCTGAACTGTGGAACATCCTTTAAAATGATCAAAGTTACTTGACTGGTAAGTTAATAAGTAGAAGTTGATGCTCATACTCTGCTATGCCAAATCTCTGAAACATCAAAAGTAATCTTTCCAAAAATCTTATTCCAATTTTTGGAAACTGTGGTCAATTAATTCCAAGGACACCACTATGTTAAAAGAAATTCCATGCATTAGATGACAAAAATCACAGTTTGGGGGTAATACAATGATTGAATCATAGAAGTCAGAAAAAGAAAAGATTTACTGGGTCATCAGGTCATCTCACATCTGTGAGATGACTCTTACCTATCATACGTTGTCCACCTAGCCCCAAAGTCCTGAGTGATTCTGTCTTCAACATGACCCTTGGAAAACTAGTCTACTATCTAGTAGATTTTGTTTTCTGAATGTTTTTCCTTTTGTTCTAACTTACTATCTCACCCTATGAAATTCAGTCCCTCAGCTGGGACCATTTATCTGCCTAAACTTAAGAATGATATTACATGCTTTGATTAACTGGGGACTAGAAGCGTTATGCTCATTCAATTTAGAAACACCAGGAGACTTGTAATCAATCACAACCAAGCAAACTATATTAAACTCCCACATGCTGGGCATGTCTACACATACTGCTATGGCGCCGTTGTTACTCCACTATCATTTAGTACTTCCTTCTGGAAGTACTAAATGACGGCTCAGTAGCAGTCTGTACTGTACTGTGTGCACTGCACACAGCTATATTTAGGCATTATGCTGCTGTAACGATGCACTATAATAAGGTAGCGTGTTGCTACAGTGACATAGCTGAAGCTTCATGGTTCTTGCCCGTGGACGCTACATTGCTGTAGCGTGTTGCTACAGTGACATAGCAACACATGTAGACACGCCTGCTGAGTATCAAATATTGCAGTTGTTCACAATCAACTCAGAATAGGACAAATCAAATTGTGAAAAGGTGGCTTATAGTGACCAACTAAAATAAAAAATCCCATTTGCTTCAAATATCAATTTGTGTAAAGTCATTGATTGGCTCCAGTTACCTAATTAACTCACAGCACTATTAAATATTTTTTCTCAACTGTCAATAAATTATACCAACTTCAAAATAAACTACAACTTGCAAATACAAGATGACAGTCTACAACTACTTCTTGACAGCAAAATAAAGGAAATACATTAAAATACTATTAACTGAGTTGCAAAACATGTCATTATTAGATTTAGAACGTGGTATTTCTGGTTGTAGGGATGTTTAAGGTATGGAAAAAATGAACTACATTTCAGTTGAAACAAAAAACAAAACAAAACAAAAACCACTTAAAAAAAAAGTCTAGTGTAATCATAGCTTGACAGCTGTAGCCTTTCAAACTGTAGCAAGTGACACCTGCACTGTTACTAACAAGACACATTACACATATTTAAAGTCAATAAAGGTAGTGGCAATCTAAACATAGCTGTGTCTACTTAGTATAGAAAATAACAATCAGAATACTGATAATAAAAGCAACAAATATACCAACAGCAAAGTAATACAGTAATAATTTTGTGTGGAAAAACTTTTGGTATAGTAGCACTTTTGGTATAGTAGCAACCTGAGGGATAGAGATTACAGGATAAATCTGAATATAGTCTCCTTACAAAAACTGCAGATTTCATAGCGCTCTAATATTTCATAAACGTATGTTGGCTTAATTGAGTTAATTGTAAAAAATTAAACCTAATGAAAATGCTGAAAAATGTTTTGTTTCAGTGTTTTTTTTAAATGAAACATTTAGATTACTGATTCAAAATAACTTCATTTCCAGATTTGCTTCCAATTTATTAAGAACAAAACAAAACAACAAAACCTCTAGAAGTCAAAACAATGTGTTTCATTTCAATTATTTTCTCCTTTTTGACTCCTCCAAAGAAGTTTAAAAAAAAATAATTTTAGGAGGACAAAATGGTGGGCTAGTGAAAAGGATTCCCTGTGAATCCTGAGTGCTACTTTGGACATTTGCCAATGGCTGACACAGTTAATTCAGTTAAAAATGGGTGCTTAGCTGTTTGGAGTTGGATGTGGCTGAACATGAAGGTTAAAAATTCACTTCCTTGTGTGCTGTCTGCTAGGAAGCCAGCATACCTTAACCCAGTAGGTGCCAACCTTCTTGGCTGAGGACCACAAGCCATGGGTGCACCTCTGATCCCCTTCCCCTGCCTCATCCATTGTTTACACTCTCTTCCCTGCCTGATCTGCTGTTCTGCTTTCCTTCCTGCCTTATCTGCACTGTTCTCCCTGTTCCCTGCCAGACCTGTCATGCGCCAAATAAAGCAGATGCATGTTCCACTTGTAACATACATGCAGTGGGTTAGTTACTCCTGCCTGAATTACATTAGGTAGGTCCATGCCCTCAAGCAGACCATAAGTGGTCTGGATCATCTCTTAGCAGTAAGAAACTGGCAGAGAATTAAATTCCAGTATGATAAAATGAAATAACCTGGGAACAAGTAGCCAGACACTAAATCACATCATTATACTGTCCATCATTCTTTCCATTATATCTGTTGTGTACTGTTAAGGTGTGGCAACTTCACTCTTATGCATACTCTTCAACCAGCTTTACAGAATAATGGCAAAATACTTCCAAAAAACACATCTGCTTTGCAGGCACCCTTTGATAGGGTACATGTTACTGATTTTCTTTCTTTCTTTTTTATTACTAAAGATATATAAACCTATGAAATCCAATGAAAATTCAAATTAGAATAAAATGTATTCATCTCTGTGAAATATTTTCTGGAAAGAATCTAAGTTCCTTTTCCCCCTCCCAGTACAAGGTTGACTTAAAAATATAGCCCCCTATATAGATCCTATTTAGCAAACCCGACATTTTTATTTGTGGTTCCTTCACAAGATGCATTGTTAGAACTAAAGAAAAATGCAGGTCCTGACCCATCATATTTTCCTTTTGTTACTAAGGTAATATTAAGCCTCAGCGTACAAAATTTCAAAGATAATGTCTTTACCAGCTTTAGATTGAGGCATTTTGGGCTCAACAGATGATTTTGCCGTCAAAGGTATGAACTGTGTTTCACTTGATTCTGAAACAAAAACCTGGGTTATAATTATCGATATTTAAAACATGAAGGTGTATCATGAAGGTATGTTTGTCTGATAAATAGCACATGCCTACAGCCTTCAGTGAAGAAACAACACTACAAAACATGTTTGGAAAAGTGACTTTACCAGCGATTGATCAAAAAGAAAATTGGTGCTGCTTGTTTTTGAATGTGAGCAAAAAAGTAGAAAGATACATAGGTTCTGTGAACACAGAGGTTTTTTAAGAAGTTGGATTAAAATGGACTTCTGGAGCACAATTCTATTTTCTAAATGGGAAGATAAAAACAAAGCAAAGACAATTATGATAAAGCCATTGTTAACCAATGAGGTCCTTAGTCACTCAGGCTAGGGACAGACATTACACAAAAACTGGTTTAAGTGATCAGAAACGGGTTTAAACCTGTAACAGAACAGACTTTCAGTGCACATAAACCAGTTTCAAATGGCTGAAACCGGTTTGAGATAAACCTGGTTGAATGTAGTATCAGACTTCACTGATTTGACTCAAACCAGTTTATCCAATGTCTGTCCCAGACCCTTGCTGGTTTAAGTTAAACCAGAGACCCCCAGCATCCTGGTATGCTCTCTGGGCTGGGCTCTCTGCTCCAGCCCAGCCAGGCTGGCCCTGCCCCTCTGCTCCCCAGCCAGAGCAGGGACAAGCAGGAGCAGGGATCTGGCTAGGGAGGGGTTTAATTCCCCCATCTCTATCCCATCAGCAGGGACCCAAGCTGGGTCTGCCGGGTGCTCCCCCTTGCTGCTGCAGCAGTGGGACACCATGGCCCTTGAGGCAGAAGGGGGCAGGGGGGAGAGTTAGTCTCCCCTCTATCCCACTGGCAGCTGGGTCTGTCCACCATCGCCACTGAGCTCCCTGGCCACACCCCCAGGGGCCTTGCATGGCTGTGCCCCCACCCTGCTGCTGCAGTGGGAAGGGGGAGCACCTGGGAGAATGTAGTAAAGTTTAGGAGTAAAGTTTCAAAAATCTTTATTACTGCAGTAACTCTTATGCCTTTTTCTTTAAATGTAATGAGGCTTTTAATCAGGCACATACTGAAGTTATAAAATTTACAACCTTAAAACTCAAAGGTGGTTTGTCAACCACTAGATGACTCCAAGCAAGCTGTACGGTTTCATTTCATAACTTCCTCATAACAGGGCCACTGAGTCTGGCTAAAAGATTACTTCATGTTCATGTGTTGAATTACAGAAAAAAAGCGACTACTATACCAGGTTCGCTATATGTCATTTCTGGCACGGCACTTGTTGATGCTTTAGATTTGGATGGAGTGTGCTGTGGCTCATATGATGCTGTAAGAAAAAAAGTCCAGTTTATAGTTAAATTACCCTATGCATCACTAGTCAGACCACAGAAAACACAGACTGAAAGCCTACATTGGCACAACAAAAGCTTGGTGGAGAAACAGAAAATTAGTCAGTCATTAATATCCCTGTTCAAAAAAGTGGTGGATGTGGGGAAAATATTGCAGTGAAATATTGATCACTGCTAGATAAAAAAAAACAACCCACCAGGAATTCCATATCCTGCACCTCAATTAGGAGTTGCCCTCTCAAATAAATTCATACCTTGCCACCTGCTAATTATCAAAGCCTTGTGCAGTCTGTAGCAAACCATACCTACATTTTGTGGCAAAGTTCCTGGAGTCTGGATCTTTTTGATGGACCACCCAGGTAATATCATGGCAGCTTAATTTAAATTACTAAATATGAGGGTTTTCTTGAATATACTATTAAAGCAAATGATACAGGCAGTATCGAAATGAATGATTTATTTTGCAATCACTTTCGTTTTTATGCAGACCTTACATTTTTTATTTTGATATGCAAAATTTCCAGGGAAGACAACTGCAGGTTTTTTAAATATAATGCTTCCACTCTGCAGCATAATATTCCTATATGGGGAGGTGACGGGTGGGATTCTGAAACTAATGCCATAGCCCTGGAATCACAGGACAGAGAGGGCATTGATCTTTGCTATTGTTCACAAAATGTCTTAAAATGTTAAATAATAAATATTATTTCTTCCATAATTGAGTCACTCTCCTCTTGCTGCTTCTAGTGACTCAAGTGGTATTTGAGACTTTTTAAAGTATGGAGCCTTGAAATACTAGTATTATTATAAACCCCAACATCACTTTTGTTTAACTCCTGCAAGTAGCTTAGGTTTTCACATTGAAATGTTTTGTTTGCCCTAAAAATAGGCGAAGCTGTAATATTGGATCCAGATCGAGCTCCTAAACCAAATTTCACAGCTGGACCCTGTGTCTAGGAAAGATTGAAATTTCACAAACAGATAATAATCAAAATACAAAATAAAACTCATATAATGATCAAAATACTAAATAAAAGTCAGTCAATACACAGCGTTAATTCACTTTAATACCTGCATGTGTAGATGCCAGCCTATTCCTGCTTACTGAGCCGTAACTTACTGCATGGTAACTTTAAACCAGTGTAAATGCATGGATAGACAAGCTCAGGGATGATTTTCATTCTTCATGATCAATTGTCATGAAAGGATGTTCCCATTTAACTCCTCTCAATGTTACTAGAGTTGTTCAGCTTGAATTTATGACTGTTGCACTTAATCTATTCACTACCAATACGCTGATACTTTTGCCTGATCTTAAGTTTCCAGAACTATGCATATTAATTAATTCAAGACTGAATCCTACTTCTACTGTAGTCAATGGGAATTGTGCGGCTGACTTAATAATATTTCAGTCTTAATAAATAAGTAGAAGAGAATGCTCTTAAAAATATCAAAAGCAGATAAGAACAGTGAACAATACAACCGCTTCAAGTGACAACTTCACTGCAACAAAAACAAACAGGAAAGATAATAGCAAAGAGCTGACATCAGTGCCATACCAACACGTATCTAGAAGCAGAATGAAAGTCAGTCATTAGTTATGAACGCAGTGAAATGAAATGTTCTTTTAAAAGATTAAATGGTCCTCTTTGATGAAAGGGAAAACCAAAAAGATGACAAATCACTGAGGAGGAAAAAGACAGTAATTATTACCCATTGTTGCCTTTGGATGTTCAAGGGTGTGGGAAACTTTAGTAGTGACTGGAACACGAACAGATTCCCTGGTTGCTGCTGGAGCAAAGGACATTCTCTTAAGATGGACAGAGCTAGAGCTAAGCTTCTTTAACATTTTCTCAACAGTTCATGCACGTATTTTAAGATCTTAGGATCCATACTGCATAGGATGCTGTAAAGTTTAGCTTGACTATGTCATTTCTGGATCTTTTTTGTACATGGATGAAGTTCATCTATTGTTGAAATGTGAGCAATCTCTTACAGAGTTTGTGCTCCAGGGGCTTCTCCAGATGAGAGTAAATGTGCAATAGGTGACACCACAGACCTCATGAGCTGCACATGCAGGCATTCACCATGCTGCTAATTTGAAGTACAGCAGGTTTTTTAGACACTGGGAGATCCCAGTGTCAAAAAAAACCATGCCTGAAAAAATTGGGGTGGCACATGTGGTAGCAGCATGAGCTGCCCAAAATCGGAGCCTGGCCAGCTGGAGCCATGCCAGGTAAGGACCCCAGGTAAGGCTGCTGGGCCCTACCTCACCCAAGACAACTTGCTGTGGACCAGACCGTGCACACAGGGGTGTTCCCTAGGGATAAGTAACAGTGGCACAACTATGTGCCACTGCTGTTTGTCTCCAGGAAAACATATATGCACATCTGGATGCACCCCAGAGGCCTTGATGTTTGGAGCAGTTTAACTGTCCGGTGGCTGAAAAAAGCAGTTGAACTCTACTAGTCTGAAATATCTCAGAACCCCTGCTCCAGGATAATTAGAGTATTGCATTTACTTTGAAAAGATTCTTGAAATGGAACATGATGGAACCCTGGAAGACACCAGCTAAAAAACCAAAATCAAATTTGCTTAATTTTTTTAATTTTACACTCAAGAAACTCCTAGATTTTGTAGTCTGATCCTAAGTAATCTTTCAGGTGGAAATCCACAAAACTTGAGGCTCACTTACCCATAAATATTATGAATAATGTATAAAATTATTTATCAGTTAAACTTTCCTGTATATCATGCTTTTTGATGGAAAAATTTTATTCATTTCTATTTAAAACAACTTATTTAACCACCTGCACAGAACTGTGTGATTTGTGTTTGGTTAATGAGAATGGCATGGACAAAGGATAGAAAGGGCATATGTTTAAAAAAAAATATTCAGACTTTTTATTTCTGTCCTTAACTCATTGGTAACCTGAAGTCAGTCATTAATTTAGCTAATAATACTGCATTCAACAATCAAAATAAAAACTGCTTGATGTATCATTTTTAACGAGAGATGGTTAAGTCTGTGACATTGTTTGATGCCAATATTTATGCTGTATCTGTGGACATGCATCCCAGAAAAATAGTCAGGAGGTATCGTACAAACATTGCCGAAGACAGTTATGGAAGAGCATATTGTAATTACCAGGTTTTGTCTTAGGTTCTTCTGGTTGGAGAGAGACTTTAGGTTTGGAAGGAGTAGGTTTTGCTTTACTGGGAGCTGAAAGGAAGAAAGAACTGAGACTGTAATGTTCAAGGCTTTGAGGAGCAAAGGTAGCTCATCAGTACTTCTTGTTCTTCTGCAGTCACTTCCATAAACTGGAATTCATTGGATGTGGCCCTGCTGGTACTAAGCTGAAGAATAACACACTTAGAAAGCCATATCTGCCCACCAGCTGAATGAGATAGCTCATGTGAAGGCATGACCCTGATCCACAGAAGAGAGTTAATTCAACACAGCTAGCCATTTCAGTCCCTGAGATAAAGAGTCCTGATGTTCTACACAGCTCCAAAGTAGCGGGAAAGATGAGCGGGTAGGGAAAATACACAGGGGCAACTTGCGGAGAACAGAAGTAACTTGTCTTTCTTCTTCAAGGGATCCTTTGAATTCCCACTTGTGATAGATTAGGAAGCAATACTCCACCGATACAGTGGTAGGGCAAGGAGTTCTTAGTTAAATATGGACTGGAGAACACTTTCTCCAGCTGAACATCCCAATACAGTACTAAATCCAAGGAGTGACATTGGGCAAAAAGTTGCCCTGAACTACAAATCCTTGCTTTGTGAATATCCTCCAGTAGAATTTGTCTAAGGCAGGTACCGATACAGTAGTGGTTCACACATATCTTTAAACTGGGAGTACTGGTACTGGCATAGATATAGAAATGCTCTATGCATCTCCAAATGCTAGTGTAAGAGTTTCTATTTGGTAATGGTTAAACCTGGCATCTCAAGAAATGTTTCAATAATTTGCTAGAATTGTAAGGGTGTCAGTTTTTTCTAGAGATATAGAGATGACACTTCTGGACAGGAATCGGGTCTGTGGAAGGACATAGGGAGTAAAATATACTGAGACAGGTAGTAATCTGAGACCATCTGCAGCAAGAAGTCAGAACTGGCCCTCATAATGACCCCATCCTTGTGACAGAAGGCAGTGATTAGATCATAGTGTTGAAATATATCTTGTGTCCTGTAAGTTGGTCTAGGCAGAGATATCAGTCTTGTTTCTCTTAAAGGGCTTTTCAGAGTATCAGGCTGTAAGCACTGAGAAGCTTGAAGTCTCAAGGGTCTTTCCTTTCTCATGTGCAGTAAGCTATGCACTGAGTTACAGAGTAAAGTTTGCTCAAGCATAAAAGACACTAGATTAGGGCATTAGGGTCTTTGGAATGATTGCAAGGCAGGAGTAAAACCTCTTGAAGATCTAACATGACCCAACATAGATCCAATAAGGGACTGAGAGCTCACAGAAGGGGAAAAAATACATATGTCAAGCTGTCTTACACTATTTTACACTAACAACAAGAAAATAAAATTGACTAATGAAAGATACAGCCTGAAAAAAATTAAGGCGAATTCTGTTTACTATCTGCAGCTAGGAAGGGAGAACTGAGGTGACTGGGATAGAACAGGCCCTTGTATGGACTAGGATGATGATATCACCTTCATATGAGATCCCTAATACATATTCCCAATAGGTGAGGCTTTTCAGGGCAGTTCTGTAGTTCTATGCAAAGGGTGCCATATTCCATAAGTATTAATGGACACAGGCCCTTGCAGAACAAGATATTTATGCCAGAAAGATACAAAAGAGAATTTGCGCACATCAGAGTCTAAGGTTGGGCAAGAGGGACACAATCTAGGTCCCTCATACAATTTTACAATGTTCCTGAAGAGAAAAAGCTCTAATGCATTTAGATGTACAGTAAAATCTGTCTCATAAGCAACTCTCACCAGCTTCTCTCTTGGCAACTGGAGGACTTCCTATGTTTTAGGAAAACAGAAAGCTCTTAATACAAGTGAGCACAATGGCTGAACGTGACTGTATTGGCACCATGCATATTTTTCTTGTAGACTAGTTTTATTGCCCCCTCCCCTGCCCAAACAAGAATGAAGCTGTATGTCTTCAGGACTTCATAGTTTTGCTTGGGGAACCAGAAAGTCAATTTTGCACAAATTTTTGGTTTCTATAGGAAGTTTGTTTTTGACTAAAATTTCATATTAGTTCTAATGCAAACAGAAAAAAAAACTTACCCAAAACAAGAGAATGATCAATGATGAGCAAAAACAATAGCAAAAAAATTCAAGAACTATGCAAAAACCTGACTTGGCTCCTTGTTAAGACAGTATCTCAGTGCAAAGAATCTGCACAGAGTTATGGTATCTTGAATGGTAATCAAGGGAAGAAATTATGATTTGGTTAAATCTGACTGACTCCAGGATGCTGGTTGGGGCCTGAAGCCTGGACATCCTCCCTCCTGGCTGAAGACCAAACTGTGATCTTCTTTTGTCCTCTAGCATACTAACTTGTGCTCCAGACAAACACACCTGAGTAAGGGTTACAATTTATTCCTATGGAAGAAAAGGCAGAATTGACAAACATCTGTGTAGAGGAAAGAAAATGGGCTGGTCATTAAAAGTTCAGTGGTGAACAGATGGGATGTCCTCTGGATTGACCTGTCAGTGAGACCAGTAACAGAGAGGTGACAAAAAGAGAAGCATAAACACTCAAGCACACTGACTGTTCTATAGTTAAACAGAAATACAAAGTGGCCATTTACTGTGGAAACATCATTACCCACTGTTGTCCTTGGCAGTTCAGATGGTTTAAAAAATTTTGGCATCATGGTTTCCAAATGAGTTGTTTTCTCTGCTGATAAAAAATAAAAAATTCAGGCACAGTGTATGAAAAGCATCCTTAGATGAGACAAAACAAAACTGCCATATTAATATAAATTGTTTTTTTCTGTGAAAAAAGTTTACCAAGGAATCCTAGACAGAGTGAGAAAGTTTTAAAATTTCTCCATAATAACTGATGTTATTCCAAGACATAAATATAACTAAGAAAACAAGTTTCAGTGGGAACTGTGTGTTTAGAAGTGGGCAATTTTCTATTTACTACCAAAATTTCAACTAAATTTCTCAGAGATTATGGAAGGTATTATAATATCATTTGATCTCTGTTTAAAGAATGTTTGAGTACAATATAAACTGTATGCATCTTTTAAAAAATTTAACACCTTTATAAACCATCATTATATAAAATGTGTATTCTTATTTATGCAACTTCAAATAAATCTGTATGTGGATTCCCTTAACCCCCATCACAAGTCAAATTCAGATGCAAAACTAGATGTAATCTCACTGGCTAAATTGCATATCCACCTGCTCAGCTCCAGAAATGAGTTTCACCCTTCATTTGTGCAATTTCTTATAAGCCTCAAGACAAGTTAAATGTCAATGAATTCATGCAAATCTAAATCAAATGGTACACAGAGAAGAAAACCATGAGTCTTCACCAAGAGACCTTAACATTTTTCAAGGGATGCAAACTCTTTCCATACTCTTCCTTCTATGTGCTCTTTGTATACTCTTCCTGAGAACTGAAATTGCTGAATTTCAAACACTATAACTTTAAACCCACATACATGAAATTACAAAAGAAATAAATTATTATAATGCTTGGCATGGAACATAATTACCAGGTCTAGTTCGTGGCATTTTGGGTCTGGCAGTTGGTTTAGTTGTAGAAGGAATGAACTTTGTTTCCCTGGGAGCTGAAAGAAACAGACTGGATTATATATAGTTCTTTCTAATTGTTCCCCTTAGGAATGATATCACATTTCTCAAGGTTATGTGAAGTAGTGATACTTCAAAATGACTTCTGGAAATGTAGTTGGCTGCAAAAAGTAATGCCCTCCAAAGGCCCAGGCAATTTTCATGAAACTTTGCTAGTCCATGTTCCAGAAAGACTCATCCCCTCATGGCTGATAAATATTTAAATCAATCTAGTCAAGTTTTACTTCCCCTTCAAAAACAGATATATTTCTGAGCTGCAGATCAATTTTTATCAACTGACAGGTTTAGTGGGATGAAAGTTAATATGAATTCTGGGACCTCAGATTTCAAAAGAAATTGTGGCAGAGCACCAGAAAGCCATGGAAAGAGTCTCACCTTTCATTCTACTTATGAAAAGGTAGCATTGACTATAGGAGTAGTGAGAAAAACTGGTAGGAGGAAGCAATTCTGCAAACTACAAGATATCTTCCAAAAATTGCATGGGAAGAGACTGCAGTTAGCCACTCCAACTGTTAAATTAAAGCCTGATTCTGTGACAAAGTCTAAGGATGCTGGAGGTGATCAGCACTTCCAAAGTATTACTTTCCCCCTTTTTTTAATAAAGCAGGATTACAAAGGTGCTTCTGTGCTACATTCATGATGAGAGGCTTCCTTGACTGACAACAATGATATACAGAATGACATACAGTCTTATGAAGTGATTGAAAAGTTTTCAAACACAAAGAGCAGACATAGCAATGAGCAGAATGAAGCCTAATGAATAGTTCTAAGGCCACAAGAAGTAGCTCTTAGGAGAGAGTTAGGATTTTTATGTAGAGAAAAATAACCTCTAAACTTTTGCTTGAGAAATGTCTTTACCAGGCCTTGCACTAGACTTTTCAAAGATAATTTTTTAATCATGCTGCGGGATAAGTGGGCTGTTAGCTTTTTGTTGTAGTTGGGACCATAACAATCTTCAAACAATCAGGGTAAATGCCACCTATGGAGACCCATGCCTCCTATTGACATTTTAAGTACAGATGTTTTATCCTTAATATAAAGTGATAAAATGATGATTCTGTAGACAGATTAAATTTGGAGGAGAAACTAAATTCAGTTTGCACTTAAAGTATTTATTGCCTAACAAAAACAAACTCTAATATGGTTTTTACTATTAGAAGAAACAAGAACTGTTTCCTAACTGGTCTCCTGTTGATGAGAAATGGGTCTAGAATTAGAATAAGGTAGGCAAGATTACGACGGATGGTATGAAATCATTTTTAGTAATAGAGTTCTAATGGTGTTGGAACAGAAACAGAGTGAAAGATAGCTATTGAAACATTTGTTACCTAGTGTTGTTTTTGGCCAGTCAGTAATCCTAGAAGTTTTAGGCGTACTACGCTCCAAAAGTGGTGGTTTAGGGGCTACAAAACAAAAAGGAATCCAAAATAATTGAACAGTATGGTAAAACTATCAGGATTCAGTTAAAGTTATTAATACAACAAGATTGGAACATTACCATTACAAGATTTTAAACAGACTGGAACAGCATAGGGGTTCAAAAAGGCTCTTGCACGATTTCCTACATTTCTTCTTTCCTATATCTCTTCTGTCAATCATGGCTATTTGCACTAAAGAGATGCTGACTCTTCATGGCATTTTGGAAGCAAAAATGACCACAAATGAGTAATACTTACTAGGTATGAACACAGTGTTAAGACAGGTAATGTGTTGTGTACAGCACATTACAAAACTACATCTAAAATAGGAAAGCAGAAATGAAAAATACTCTACTCTACTATTTAGATAGTCACCAAAACCACCAGGGTAATATAGATGAGGCGTTTGGGGTTATTTTTTGGTTTTTTACATTTTATAACCAAACTCATGTTCAACAATCCCATCACCTTGAGTCTATTCTTAGATGAATCCTTAAGTGGAATAATAATAGGCATGGATCAAAAGTCTGTACTGTCTGCTTCCCTTGTGAGAATGTTATGGGTAATTTTTCAGTAATTTTTAAACATGGCTTTTTTATACATTCTGTTAAGTAAACAGAGCAGTTAATTACCCGGTTTCACATGCTGTACTTCTGGAGTAGCAGATGGTTTCAGTTTAGAAGGAACAAGTGATGTTTCATTTGGAGCTGAAAGAAAGAGCTTAGTTTTTAATAAACTGCTTCAAGGTTTGTTTAACAAAGAGTTTTCCACAACAACAGTGCATGCCACAGGTATGTAATGGAGATGAGATTCAATACGGAATGTGAAAGCCATCTGATGACATCAGAGTTCAGGGTGGAATGGAGCTCAGGGATGGAGATAGCATTGAATTGCTGTACACTGGTCAGAAATTGATTCAGTGTCATCCCAAAGACAGCTACAATTTCCACAACGAACGTTAGAGACATGAGACAGATAATAAAAGAATGGTGGAGCTCTCCATGCAAGTTTTATAGCTCCTCACAGGGCAGTAAAACTAGCAAAAACTATGTTCTGTAGGAACAGAGAAGTGAAATGAATCAGGAAGCCTGAGAATATTTGCTGACAGAAAAACAAGGATCTAGAATTACGATGAAGGTTAATGATTAGATGCATGAAATGACCTTTGGGAAGAAATGAGTTTGTGAGGGATGAGATGTTCGCTGATGAAATAAAAATACAGAATTTTTCACTGTTTAAAACAACATTACCCAATGTTGCCTTTGGCCATTTAAGAAGATTAGAGACTTTAGCAGTGGGAGAATCCAAAGGAAGTTCACTTTTTTCTGTTGGAAGAAATGGTGACAGTTATAAGATGGCAAAGAGGTTATGGAAGATGATGGTGTTTCAAAAGTAAAACAAATTTGCTATATATATAAAAAAAGGAAGTATTTCACTGATTCTCAGGCATTTTTAGCTTAATATGCATTAGGGATGAGTTCAGATTTTTTAATCACAGTTATGTGAACTATAAATCATGTTATCCAAATGTGCAGAAATTTGGGGATGTTCATTTAATTCCTTCCTGACTCCACTGCAATAATTCTGAATTAAATTCTCACTATCAAAATCATTGCCAGGCATCAGATTTTAGGTTCTCTCATGTCTTACCTCATTATTTTGAGTTATATTCCATCCATTAGCAAGATGGCACAGAGTAATACACAGGAATGCAATAAAAAGGACATGTTGTATTGCAGATTAGCCAGACATTAAAAGCACATGATACTTGGACCAGAAAGCTGGTAACTGATCCAACTATTGTCACAGCTCTGGAGAATTAGGTGCCTACAAGTTGTGAAATGTCTTCATGTAGTGCAGGATATGTTTTCCCTGCATTTAAACAATTTAGCAGTTTTACAGTATTAGTTTACAACAGTGTTACTAGACTATCTGGACTATCACTATTGTTGTAGAAGAACATGGTATGTTTTAAGAATGGTTTTATAAAGTGTTGTGCATTACTTTTTTTTTCAAAATCCTGAAAGGAAAACAGACTGATAAATATTACCAGAGATGTCAGAGCTGTAAGACAGCACTGGTAGTAATCTACCCTGTAATCTGATAAAAAACACAGCTCTCAGAGTCTGCTCCAAAGCCTACTTAAATCAACAAAAGACTCCCTTTGATTTCAGAGGCTTCTGGATCAGGCCCTGATTCTCCGAAGGGGAAGGACTGGGTAATAATTATTGTACCTGGTTTGGGATCTGAAATTTCAGGCTCATCAGATGTTGTGGGGCTTGAAAGAACAGGTTGCTTATCAGTGAAAACTATAAAAAGAAAGAGGTAATCATGTTTATTATGATATTTTTAAATTTTAGAGATTTTTGTTTTGAGGCACCAAGAATTAAACTTAGCAGTCTGACCAATTTAAGAAGTGAGCATTCTTTAGACTGGGAGAGGAGGAGGAGTAGATTGGAATGGGCTAGTGGTTGAAAATGACAATTAAAACAGAAACAACAGCCACAGTGCATGGACGGCCAATTGTACCTCAAATAGCAGAATTCATAGACATTAAGCCATGTGGAAAGTACAACAATGCAAATCTGTGTGACTCAAAGTCTGCTAGGATACTACAGGCATCAAACATTCAAGGAACAATGGCAAGGATACACGTCTTTAAAGCTGGAAAGGAAATAATATTCCTGCAGATATTCTCTGGGATTGAAAACTCCTGCAGCACTTTGCTTTCTGTGAACATTTTCTGATTGGGTTTAAAAGATGAAAGAGAAATTTGCATAGAAAGAGAGTGTCCCAAGTTGCTTGACCAGAATCAAAAATGGTATCACATTACTTACCTAAACCAAAGGCACTCAACCTTTTTGGCTGGCAGGCCAGATGGGCAGTGCCCAGGCCGTCTGCAGGCCAGATCTGGCTGATGGTCCTAATCCAACATGGGGCAGTGATGGCAGGGTCCTATCTGGCTATCTTAGCTCCAGGGGCATCTTAGCTCCAACCCAGCCCCACAGGGTGGGGGTAGAGGGGTCATGGCCAAGCCCCGCAGGGGAAAGGGGCATGGCCCAGCACCAACCCAGCCCTGTGGAGGGGAGGGGGCATGGCCCAGCCCGATCCAGCCTTGGTGGAGGGGGCTTGTCCTGGCCCCAACCTGTTGTGTGGGGCTCAGGGTTTGGGAATTTGGAAGCAGGGAGAGTGGCCGTATTTATTTCCACTGTTCCCGTCGCCAAATTTCCCAATCCTTGCGGAGCCTTGTGGACACCTATGGAGTACCCAAGGAGCCTTGTGGACACCATAGCTCTGCAGGCTGCATTTGGCCTACAGGCTGGAGGTTGAGCATCCCTAATCTATACTATTATAGAATGATGGTACCTTTGCATCATGAATACTCACAGCAAAATAGGATCCATCTATGAAAGTAAAAAATGGCAAACAAATTTGTTGAGCAATTTGGAACAATTTTAATTAACTTGTGGTTGTTCTGCCAGCAGACGAAGATGCTTAATTCACTAGGCAAATAATATTATTTACAAATAATCCATTCTAATGTAAGCTTCATGCATTAGGCTTAATCAGGTACAAGAACATTTAAAAAAATGAAAGGTCTGGACACAGACAAAAGATGATGTCAAGCAAGGCAGCATCATAGGTGATAACCTTGGTAGCAAAACACAGGCTGCATGTTGGCTTCCATAAAGAAGGTAGTGAGTAAAGCCATGAAAACTGTCGTGACAACTGATAAGAATTTTTGTGTTGGTAGGAAATTAAAACAAGGAAAAGTTCCTAAAATAAGCTGCGACAAAGTAGTAGTTAATTTAAAGCAAGAAAATTGCATTATTCATTATTACCCATTGTTGTTCCTAACAAATGAGGTATTCTGGAAATTAGAGGCATAGATGTTTCCAGTTCAGCACTATTTGTAGCTACAGGAAAAAGAAAATGTAAATAAACTTAAGCTGTAACTTCATGCTGTTGAGTACAGGAGAAGGGGTTTGCAGGGAGAGAGGAAACTGCATTGCATTGCTTTGCAAGTTTCTAACAATACCACAAGTGTTGTTTAGACAGACAGGAGGGCCTTCTTATAACTAGGAAACAAACTCATTTACTATGGGTTTAAAAAAATAAAAAGGCCTTATCTTAGTACATGCTAAGATTATTTATGGGTTCAGTGATGTTGCATGCATCTGGTTTTGCACAAGAAGCAGTTTATGCATTTGCCTTCAACTACATCTAAAACAAGCTGACTGCATACTGTACACATTTGCATAAATGGATAACAACCTTTGGAATACTGATTACAAACACAGTGACTTCCTGCAACAAGTATCCCTTTTTAGCACTACGCAAATCTACTTCATTCCATATATTTTTCATGCCACAAGTAGGTTTTTCTTTTCATGCTGGGCTGCTGTCCCTAGTTTACAGTACTACAGAATAAATAAAGTTGCAAATTAATCTTTGGAAGATGTATGCTTTACATTTTAATCTAGTTAAAGAACACTTTTAAGCTGTCTTGGGATCCCAGCGAGTCCACCAATAATACTGCTAGGAAGTTCACAAAAAACTGCATCTTAATTATTTTATGGTAAGACTTGAACAATTTATTTATGGTAAGACTGGGCAATGTGTCCCTTTAAACCCTTGTTGCTTGTCCAAAAAAACCAACCATCCAATAAAGTAAAAAATGTCAACCTCATATCTCAACAACTTTTCAAAAATTATTTCAGCACAGATGAAAGGAGCTACAGTAGCTAGAACAGGCCTTTGCTATACATATATATTTATACAGAGAGATTATGGAACAATACAAAGCAAGATATACAAGACAGCCAACAAGTCTTTAAATGTCTTTACCAAGCAGAAGAAATACATAGCATCTCAATAGGAATCTCACTCATTAAGTTAAATGAAGAGAATCAAAAGTCTTTTATTTCTATTTTTTTTGGAAAATGTCTTGGTTTTGCATTCTCTTTTGAAACTATAATATCCACAGTATCTACCTACTGTACTGCCATTACTTAGTCCTATTTAGGAACACTGAGCCTCAGTCATGACAAGGTTAGTTATCATTGTGGAATAAGATATCTTTTTAATGGTACATTGTGTTAAGCTTACTTTATGGTTACGTATTTCCACGTAGTATTTCTATCTATCTGCCTCAGATGGAGGAGTGGCTTCAAATGTAATTTCACTGACCAAAGGTTAACCCACAAAGTCGCCAAAAGATCTGGATAATCCCCTAGAGTCTAGGCTTTTCTCTGACTGCTTTGATAGAGCACTGGCCTGAACTTGTTCCCATCCACAGGTATGCCACTTCCTACAAACCGTTGGATACCAACCAATATCTTTTCTTCAGTAAATTTGTACATCTGGCCCTCTTCCCCAAAGAAAGGATCATCACCTCAACTTCACCTAGCTTTCCTTTCCTCTTTATATTGTAAGTCCTTTTCTGATTCTCTTGCCTCCTTTCTTTGGCAAGTATCACACCAAATAGGGCCCTCATCCAACAGGAACATGTGCCTCGAACCTGCATTGTGTCTAGCCTCAGAACCACCAGAATACAATTGTACAATTTAAAAGCATAACATGGAATATGAAACCCTAGTGCAGGAAACACCTAGGAACCAGTTAAATGGAAACAGTAACAACATACTCAGCACAAAATATCAGGCTTCTGAAGTAATTTAAGCATAGTTTATCAGATTCTATCTGTGATATTGCTGGAGTTTGGGGAATGGAGGAAACAGGCAGAAAGTCATATGAAACTGAAAAAACAAAAACAAGAACTGGGGTTTTATTACTGAAAACATGGAGAATCAACATGGAACAGAATTGTCTTCAGTCAGAAGCTCAAGACAAAGTCTAGCCAATACTGAAGAACCTGAAGATTGCAATGTATGTTTTAGATTCTGTCTGTATAAGAATTATTTGAACCCTCCCCTTCACCAGTACTGTAGCAAGGATTGTGCCAGAAATATCCCGGCATGGGGTGCCCTCTCATATGAGGTACCAAGTCAAATGACAGTAATGTTATGTAGTAGTGGGTGCTCTGCACACAACCTATACCAGGTGTCAAAATACGTTGTTATACTTTTGGTCCCTCCTGTGCTCCAGTGTTTATTTGCTAGGACAAGCATGAACACATATATCCAACGGAGATGGCACTAACTGGTGAAATCACAAATACAATCTCATCAAATATTACTGACAGAGAAAGGAAGGACAAAGCAGATAAGAGCAGAAAGCAAATGTTAAAGGCAAGGTAACAGGCTGAGAAAGACTTGATGTGTGGTGTTACAAGCACAATCTGGGAGTTATGGACATTTGATTTTGAAATGAAATCTTTCTAAAAATATTAACCCTAGAATGTAATCTGCCTAGAATGTGCACTGACATGCAGGGGATTTACAAGTACATCTTATCTGTCAATAATTAATTTGATCATGTGATCCCTGGAGAAATAAATGGTTATTCAATCTTTCACATGAGAAATTAGAATTTTAAGGGCTTCACAGAGATGCTGTGAGAATGACCTAACCAATATCTGTACCTCCATTGGTGCAGTATTGAAGTTCTGTTAAATATATTATTTAGGGATGCTAGACTTACAATAGAGTACCTAATGAGCATGTATGCAAGAGCTGAGTAAAATAAAGACTTCTGAAATAGAGTACATTCTCTAACATCCACATATGGGTGTAATAGAAAGGATGTTGTTCAGCATAAGCTGGTAACAGAAAGTGAATACATTCTTTGACTGTATAATAAATGTGACCTACAAAGAAAAATACAGTAAATAAATCCGGTTTGCTACTTTCCTTTCTGATATTCAAAGAAGTCTTTTCCCCACAAAAAGCTGGTCAGGTTTTTAATTTAGAAAAGTAAGATATCAACTGTGGTAAAAATACACCATGACCTAGACTTCTCTTGAATAATAACCGTATGAGCCCCTCATGATCCCTTGTGTAAGAAGCACGAGGCCTAACGACTGAGTTGTGGGTTTCTTTTCCTTCTTGCTTGCTCTGCATTTTATAGCCATACTTACATAATGCCCTAAAGTTACATTAAGGTATAAGATTACTACCAGACACTAACTTTGCCGTAGTTCCCCTTTTCTTCTGCGCATGCGACAGAACTTTTTGCCGCAGTTCTGCTTTTGAAATACGCATGCACGAAACTTGATAGGGGATACTAACCAATAGCAAACTAATCCTCGCCCCTAAGATAAGACATAACACCCAGGAAATTGTGGTGCTGCCAATAGTTATATGACACGCTATAACCCTTTGTCTATATAAACTATAAAAATAAAATCTCAAGAAAAGATCGGGGCCATCAGGGATTAGAGCATTAGCTCCTCTGTTGGCATTGCTTGCGCAACCAATAAACCCATAATAAACTCACCGTGTGTGTGACTCTCTCCTAAAGATAAAATTGGCTTAGCCTCCAGGGACACGAATCTAGCCGTTTGGCCAACAAACTCATGCTTTCCCTATGTTTGCTTGAGGGCTCCTTAGACTAGAATTGCATGAGAGCTTTCTTAGAACTCAACTGAATAATGAAGGGTACTGAATATTTAACAAAATGAATTTCTCTCTATATAGTTGACCAGGAGCTTGAATTAAATATATGTTAAAAAAAAAGACATCATATATCTAAATTGTTCATGCTTCAAACTGGTGGTGTTAGTGCTGACATAATTGGAATACTTCTGAAATTTGAAGACTCTTCCAGGGGAAAATACGTGTTGAAGGACAGAGCTAAAACAATCAGTGAAACACCCACGCACCGCTGCCCCCCTTAATGTGGAAAACAGCTACCACTATATACACGTGGACCTCCGTAGTCCGAATTAAAATTGGCTCCAGTCTGAGTGAACTAATCCTCACTGAATGAGGATTAAAGTTAATGCAGACTAGGGTAGTCCAAATTCAGCAATTTGAACTGTATTAACATGTATATATGATGTTGTTTTTAGGAAAAACAGTCCTTAGGAACTCAGATAAGCATTGCAAATATCAATCCACACAAGGAAAACTCAGTTGGGTTTTGGCAACACAGTGGGTGTGTCTACATGTGCCCCCCACAGCACAGCTGTTACTGCACTGTCATTTAGTACTTACCATAGCTACGTGCTATAGTGAGGTAGCTTGTCACTATAGTGACATAGCACTGGCATCACAGTTTGTGCCCGCTGACACTACGTCGCCATAGTGATGAGCTATGGTGGTATAGCACATTGCTATGGCGACGTAGCGTGTCGTGTAGATGCTCCCAGTAGAGACTATCAGGCACATAGCAACACTTTCATAAAGTCAAATGTGCCAACAACATCAGGTCAATTTCTCCCATTACGGCTTCTGGAACAGCACTTTAGATAACTATCAGTAGGTTTGTAACAATGTGGCAGTACTTAAACAGGCGTATTATTGATTCATTATGCATAAATTCACACACAGAGACTGTGACTTCAGTCTGTTAAGGGGCTGTCAAGTGTATAGACTATGTATAGCCTGCGCTTCCTGCCATGATGGTCAATGATCATCCATCAACCCTTAACTGGAATTGAAATTTGATTCAAATTGTGTGATGTGGATCAGTTAACATGATTTAGAAAATGGCGAGTATGTCTACAAGTAGCATCTCGGGCACTGAAAAGTAGGAATGAATGTAAGTGGTTACAAGATTTGTGGGTACTTGGAACTGTGTTAAGTTACTTAGCACAGTGCCAGCTGCCCACAAATGTTGTAACCACTTATATTTTTTACATATGGTTTTAAATCCTACAAGATCAACATTCATTCCTACTTTTCATTTATACAGAGACTTTTACAGCTGGGTGGGCTGAACTAATTGCAATCAACACCTAATGGAGAACACATATATAACATAAGACATGGTCTCTCTAAACCATTTAATTCCAAACTCAACAAGTATTACTTTTCCACAAAAAAAGCTTTTCCATATCACAGCCAAAAACATATTGGGGGCGGGAGATGACGATTCTTCTAAAAACTATAAGTTTCTATTCACTTTTATTCAACTGAATAAACTCCCACAACACCACAAATGTTAGATATCAAAGTTTAATTAGAAGCATGTGTGTTATGGGGTGAAGGTTACAGGATTGTTTCTATTTAAAGTTGAATATACAAAGTGCTGTTTATATACTAATAAAAAGCCCTGATTAGCCATTGTATTATTCCAGTTGTAAAATGGTGTGGTTTCATAGTTAAAATAAAAATAAATCTGGAGTGGTGAACAAGGTGAACAAGGTCTATGGACCTGAAGTGGTCAAGAGAAGGTTGAGAGGTTAAACAATGAGTATATGATAATAATGCCTGATAAGTTATTGACCACTTCAACAATCAACTTTTTCCCATTGCTACTAAGTTATGTGATATTACCAAAGAGGAAAAGCTAAATTACCCTTGTTCAGTGGAAAAACAGCTCAGGAAGTGCTTCAGTAGTGTTAACATCTAGATGGCCTTTTGCTTCACTGGCCTTAAAAGTGCAAGTGAAACCTGACAGCCTACCCAGGAATCCCCCAAAGAGTGTCCAAGATCTTAACAAAATGCTTTTCTGAGATCCAAAAGTGCATGCCATCAACCTGCAGTGACAAGACAGATGACCAGCTGCTAAACTCATCTTTTTCCATGAAAAATCAGTATTTTTCCTGGAATAGTCTTAAGGACAACAATCCCAAATGGCCTCAGTTGGATTAAATGCTTAGCAGTAAAAGGAAACAGAACTTGCTGCTCATACAGAGGATAACAGTCAAAACTACAAGCAGGGGTACAGCTGCACTGTGTGTGTTCAGAATGTTGTATAAGAAAACTAATTAAAGAGTTTCAGAACATATATGGAAAGAGGAAGTAAAAGCTGAAAGAATAAGCTTTGAAAGCATGAACAGGAGAAATATGCAGTGCAGAACTGGATTTCATGATATAAAAACCTAAAAATGTTATATTAGGTATCAAGAAAACACCCTTATTTACCAAACTCCTTTTTACTAGCACCAGGTGTAACAGGTCTGAGAGTTGTTCGAACAGTTACTGTAAGAAAGAAAATCACATTTACTTTAGGACTGTTAGATCACACTACACAGCTCACAACATTTCCTTTTCTTGGTTGTTATTTTGTTTTGCTATATAGTTTATGAAAGTTGCATTTGAACAATGCAGCAATAAACTTGATAGAATTACTGAGAATATTTGGTCCAGTTACAACACCTTTGGGCAATTATTAAAAAAAAAAGACTTTGGGTTAAATTCTTCTCTACTCCACACTTTGTGGCCTTGCTTTGTGTGATACATACGTGAGTTTATTACCAAACTAACTTGGTAATGTTTGAACCACATTTTTCACTTATCTTGCAGAAGTGAAAAGGGTAGCACAAGATGCAAAGTAGTAGAGAACGCAGGCCCTTCCACCTTCTTCTGCACTGTCATTTACATTGAATCTCTAATATCAGATCATTTTCACAGCACAAATAAGTCCTGACTATCTAAAAAGGTGGTCCAATTTTCACAAGGTACCAAACACAGCTCTCACTGGTATTCATGGAATCTACGGAAAATGCGCATATCTGCAAATTGAGATATTTTAAAGTAGTTGCTTAACTGGATTTACTTGATTAACTAGCATCCACTGATATCTGAAGGCACAAAAAACTGTAATGTATGTACTATTACATCATATTATTTTGCATTAGTTGCTCGATGTTTACTATATTTAAAATAACTGACCTTACAAACTGGATGTCCTGAGAAACCATTGAAAAAGAATGGACAATTTAATCAGAGTGATCCATTATTCTAAATATGTCATACAAACCATAATAAATAAACATACTATTTCATACAGAACACCAATCTTAGTAGCTATTTTTATCCTGAGTTTATGACAAGTTAAACTGACTACTTGGTGAAATGCCCTGTGAGGTTTCTTTTGAAAATGCTTGTTGTAAGAATTAACATTTCAAGAAATATCATTACCAGATTCAGTCGGTGGCAATTCTGGGGTGCCAGGCATTTTGGCTGTTGAAGAAACAAGCTGTGTTTCATCAAAAGCTGAAAAGACAATTGGGATTTAAAATGCCAAGGGACTTCAGAGTCAGCAGGATAACAGCACCAAGCAGACAGAAATTGCAAATTCAAGATGATGCTGGCACAAGGGCAAAGCAAGATGATTGATGACATGGAAGTCAGCTGTGAGATGACTGTGAAACATGAAGAATGAGGCTGGTGTGCAGAACAAAGCACAGGCAATGGGATTTCAACATCCCATGCTGAATGGAATTCTTATTATCTTAGAATTGTATTTTATGAAATTCTTTGGAATAAGAATTGCTGAGATGTAAAAAACAAATAAGCTCACGGTGATACAAGATAGAGTGTGGTTTTAGCAGGTGATCATTGTGTCACTAGAGAAAGTGCTTTTCACTGTTGATTATGCAATAGTGGTTGAAATAAGAGGATCAAACAAAAAGCCTGGCACACAAGTATGGAAGACAAGGTGTTTGAATGACTCCAAGCATTCTCCTTTACAGAACAAAGATAGGCCAAGAGAATGAAAAAAATGGAACTGCATGAGATTTACCCATTGATGTCCTTGGGGTTTCCATGGGAGGGAGAGATGTGGATTGCGAAGTTGGTCTCAGGATAGCTAAGAGCAAAGATGGACATTATCTTGAGACACTGACTTAGGCAGCTTTTGCACAAGTCACTGTTTTGAACAGAGCAAATATGTTCATATTTATAATTAAGCTTTTTTTTTTTTAAGTAATTTTTCTTTTTGTGAAAAAATTGCATCCATCAGCTGGATGTTCAAGTAGTCTGGGCCTGACACACTTAAGAGTTAGGGACATAAATTAGAAATAAACCAGTAAAAGTGATCAGAAACTGGTTCAAATCCGTAACACAGCAGGAGTTCAGTGCTCATAAGCCACTTTCAAAATGGCCAGAACTGGTTTAAGGTAAACCTGGGTGAATGTAGTGCCAGACTTAACTGATTTAAGTTACATCGGTTTCCTGAAGTTCTGTCCAAGATCCCCTCCAGATTCAAGTTATCTCACAGTTCCCCAGCATCCTAGAATGCTTGCACTTCTCCTGCAAACCCATCCTTGCAGGGTGGGCAGGGCAGGCTAGCTTTGGCCCAACCTGTCTGCTTCAGTTGAGCAGTGAGGCATGCTCTACTACCAACCTGTCTGCTTCAGTTGAGCAGTGAGGCCTGCCCTACTCCCCCAGGCTTCTGCAGCCACTGCAAGCATGTGGCTGCATTTCTGGAATTAAAAGCAAGTATCTGTTCACTTGCTGATTGGTTCAATCTATGCCGTTTAGACTAACCTGCAAAGGTTGAATTGATTCAGCCCCAGGCTTTTTGACTATCTGTACTTAGCCAAGGAGTATATCTTTCATATTGTGGCAGTCCCAAATGCAATAAAATCAAGCCTTGGAACACTTTTAAGTTTACTGAAAAGCTGCACCTTTACTACTGCAGTGAAATAACCAAAAGAGAAATGTGCAGAAAGAGGGGATTACAAAGAGAAATAATGGATACAGCAAACTAAAGAACCATGAAAAATTATGATTTTTTAAAATTATTATTATTGTTATTCAGGAAGATGATAATTTAGAAAATTTAGAATGCCACAATTCTAAATTCTAGAAAATGAGGGTTGGAAGGGACATCAGGAGGTCATCTAATCCAATGCCCTACTTGTGTCAAAATCATCCCTACCTAAACCATCCTAGACAAGTGCTTGTTTAACTTGCTCATAAAAACTTCTAAGGATGGAGACTCCACCACCTCTCTAGATAGTCTATTCTAATGCTTAACCATCCTTATAGTGAGAAAGTTCTTTATATTATCCAACCTCAGTTTCTCTTGCTGCAACTTAAGACCATTAAGACTTGCTCTGTTTTCCACAGCCACAGAACGTGCAGACAGAAATTACATTTGTCATGTGCTTGACCCCTTGAAAGTGCCCAAACAGAAAAGCACAGCTGCAGAGATCTCTGATCACAAGAAAAATTAACCCTCATTATGAGTGTTCAAATGAAGTTGCACCAAAGCAGAGCACCTTCAATAACTTCTGTCTACTCTGGTGGCTGGGCTGAAGCAGCTCAGCCATGTCCCTGCTACTGTCTCAGTATGGAAGGGGGAGAAGGTGGGAAGGAAGGTCCGTTCTAGGGTTTGCCCAGCCATGCTGGGAGGCAAATGGACTGTAGGTCTAACTGCCCATCCCCCAGAAATGAGGGACTCCAATCCACCTGCCTCCTATTCCAGCATGGCAGGGTGAACTCCAGAATGGACCTCCCTCCCCTGCCTTCTTCCACTTCCATACTGAGACAGCACTGGAGCTGGGAGAGGTAGGCTGGTGCTAGGGGAAGAGTCTGTAGACCCACAGACTCTCTCACTGTATCAGCTGCAAATTGGAGCTCGATGCCCTACCCTCCTGAACCAATAGCTAATGTCTGTTGGGTCAGACGGTCGATCTAACTCATAGCACTTTCTGTAAAGCGGTTGGTCGGTCGGTCTAACTCATAGCGCACTTCTGTCTACATCTAGATAATGGTCTAACACCATCCTCCTGAAACCACCTTTCACACATGTGAAGATTATTATAGAATCTCCTCTCAGTAATGTCTTTTCCTGACTAAATAACCCCTAAAAAATTTAAGATGATGTATCTTTAATTTGAGGGTAATCTAAAGTCTTTGTCTCAATAGGAGGAGTAGATGTCAAGCAGATATTGTGCACTGCTGATTGTAAGTACATGTTATTTTGATGATAACAAAAAGATCCTCTATTTACACAGCTATAAAATACTCATGTGTATCAATAAGTACCATACCGCCCAATAATTACACTTGCAACAGCCGTAGATATTTGTTTATACTATCTTTTTTTTTCTTTAAAGCAATCCATGCTTTACACTACATAACTGAGATAGGAGGTTTTAAGGTAAGGCCATCCCAGAACCTTACTTCAAAATTCCCATGGATTTAGGGAAAATATTCCAAATATTTAGGGTTTGGGCTTATTTTTAATACAAATGGCATGAATATAAGTGAAAATTTGAACCAATAAGCAAGTAGTTTTCTGTTTCATATGGCAGGTATCAGCTTCCACATCTACTTGCAATCAGATTTTGTATGACTCATCATATCAACAGATGCGATCCCAGGTTAATATCCTGATTCCAGAGAAGGAAATAGTGATCGTGAGCACTATACAAACAGAAGCCACATGATTCACAGCTTTTGGCAGCAGGACTCTCATTAATTTTATTCATGTACAGTAAGAGCCATGAGAGATCTTCCAGGGGTGTCCCAACACACTGTAGCCACATAACAAAGATGCCTTTTTAAAAAAAGGTTTGAATTCAAAGCCTGATGGCCACACATCAAGCTTCTAAATTAAAAGAGATGTCTCCCCCTGGTATAATCCAGGTACAAAAATAAATAAAAAAAACATTCTCGAGAACATAGGGCAGAACATGGTTCACACATCTGAAGATATAAGTAAAGGAACTAAATGTTACTCTGCTGATCTTATGAGGAATGTAATACTTTTCAGGGATAAACTATATAAAGCTTACTTATTAAGACTTAACTTTTAAAAAAAAGTAATATTAAAAAATTATATTGGAAGATTCTGACTGGGAAAATAGGTCAGATATCATCCAGAAAAGCAATGTGATGCTGCAGTTGTTATGTGTGAGATTTTTTTCCATTTAATTTAATAGAGGAAGGATAAGGACATGACTTGCATACTGCATTTACTTTCATACCACACACACCTTTCCCCCCCCCAAATCAGCATTCCAAAATTGGGGTGCATGTCTTAAGTGTGGAAGTTCATTTTGTCTTTAGTGCAATAGAACCAGAGGAATAGAAGCAAGTAGACACTATGGTCTAATGACCACCAAGATAGCTGTCACTTCTTTCTGGCACAGGAAGCAGAAGGGGTAGCATCCAATCTTAACCTTCATATATTTGCTAGATGTCAGCAGTAGCTATTGGCCAAGCACCGTAGCTTGTGTCAGAAGCAGTAACTAAGTTTGCTCAGGGCAAGCGAAGATGCAGTCTGTAGTACCGTGATGAGGCTTTGTGGCATAGAAATTCAAAAAGTTTTGTTATTTTCTAAATTTGTTATTTATAGGAATAATTTATGTAAAGAACTATTCACAGTAAAGAAGTAACAATCTAGCTACTGGCTTTCTAAGGAACTGAAATCTAATCTTCTTACTGTCCTGTCACATCAGGAAGTTCCTGCTGCCTCACCTAGCCTGTATCCTGGGATGCCACATTCCTGGACACTGTATTTCCAGGAGGACCTACTCTGTCACACAGTTAACTGTGACTCTGAAATACTTTCTCCTACATTCTGCCTTCCAAAAACAAAGGTGTGGGTCTTATTTGGGGATGTGTGAGAAAATACACGGTGCAAACAGAAGTTACGTTTGTTGCGCAATCAGCCCCTTGCAAGCACTCTATATCTGTGCCCTGTGCCGCCTCTCCTCATGCACAGGCGGTGCAAACCCCAACCTCTCTCCCCTGCTTTCTCCCCTGCTCCCATTGTACAGACAGTGCTGGGGGCAGGGCTGGGCTGCATCAGCCCCGCTGCCCAAGCAGACAGAAGTTAATGAAGGTGCTCCACTTTGGAGCCTCCAGTCCACCCACACCCACTCCCACTCCAGCACAGTCTGGGAAAACCACAGCTTGAGCTCCCTCCCCACTGGCAGGAAGGGGGGAAGGGGGAGCTAAAGGAGAGAAGCTGCAGACATGCAACTCCTCAACTGAATTGGCTCCAAAGCAGAGCTCAATTCCCCACCCTCAATTCATGTCTTTTGAGCCATAAGTTAGATCAGGAAGCTACATGTCTGTCAGCACCCACAGTGCTTTTAAAAGAAGATTCACAGAAATTATGCTCCAGTTTTAAAAATTCTGGTTAAAGAACTTTGGCTTTCAAATCTGGTAGGAAGGAACACTGGAGAGTTACAACAAAAGTACTCAAAGGCCCAGACCTGCAAAGCCTCAACGGAGCTCACTGAAGTCAACTGCAAGAGCACGGACTTCCCTGAGAGTCTGCCTGTTTGGGAATTGCCTCCCACCAACTAGGCCCAGACCAGCTAACATGTGTTTCTCTAGATACCAATGTCTAGTATCTGATAAAGTAGGCTATCACCTGCTAAACTGTATGCCTTTCTGAACAAATTCATCCCTAAGGTACATCCCACCTTGCCTTCTGCCTGACTGCAGACTAACACAGCTAACTCTCTCTAAACACCAATGGCAAGGTTTAAAGCTATGAGAATATCAATTATGCACATAAAAGGCCAGTTTTTTCCAGATTCTTCTATTCTTTGATATTTGCTACTGAAAAACAAGTGTGAGTGAGCTTACTACTACACAGCAGAATGGAGTAGTGCTTCCATCTCTTGCAAATTTGAAATCAGTAGCTACATTTCAACAAGCTGTGTTCTTAACAAATTACTGAACATCCTTCTCTCTAGCACTGAATCTAACTATATGTAATGGGATCTTTTTCAGTACAATAGCAAGAGAGAGTTATCTCCATGCCATTGATGAGAGACCTGTTCTTCTCATGCAAATACCGCACAGAGAAGAACTGTAAGAAATTATAATAAATCAAGAACAAATTTAAAAAAATCTTACTCGGTTCCTGCTTGGCCAAACTTGCACTGAGGTTGGTGGGAGTTTTTCCTGAGTAAGGATTTCAGTATTTGGCAATTAATTGAAAACACATGTCCTTAATATATTTTGGCTTCAGTAAAGTTTACTGCAAGAATAAACTGAATCAGTACTCACCCCAGCCACGTATTAACCAAGCCTGACCCTATTTATGCAGTTAGTAATTAACCACCAAGATCACAGTCTACTAGGCACAACTACAGACCATTTCTCCCCTCCAAAGAGAAAAACCTTTGCAATGGGTTATTCTGACCCCCATCTATTCCATAAATGTAATAACCTTTAAATATGAAAATTAATCTATTCTGATGCAGATTCAAAATAAAAGATTAAAACACAGCAAGGAAAAGTCAAATGCATACAGTCTATCAAATATTGTTACCCTTGTTGGTACATTTTTCTCCTAAAATACTAAAGGGAAGCTAAGTGCCTTACTACACTTTGCCTTAGAATGGACAGTGCCCAGTTCCCATTGAATTCAATGGGGACCACAGAAATAATCTGAGGGGACAAAAAACTGCACAAAAGTCTGTGTGGAAGGCTGGCAGGGTTTCAAGCATGAACAGATTCTATGGCCTCAGTTTAAGAAAAAGTGAATCGTGATTCTATTTGCTCAACCGGAGAGATATTACAAGGGCTTGCTTCACAGAAGAGGAGTAGTTTATGCTCATGCCTTTAAGATGTCCTAAGATGAGCCCCCAGTAATTGAGACACCTGAAATTAATATTCACTTTTGAAAACATAGGCCATACAAACACCTGAGCAGTAAGACACTAAAATCAGTAAAATAATAAAAGTGAATTAATTATTTAATAGTCACTCTGCAGTAAATCACTTCAGGGCTGGATGGAACAATGCTTCAGATGACAGATACAGACATCCTCTAAAAATAATGCAGCATTTACAAGGAAAACATGAAGCTCATAGAGCAAATAACTGACAATTTATATCAACTGAAGATTAACCCCTTTATCATCACATTTTTTCCATTGTCATAAGAAAAATATTTCACTAAGCTCAAAACAAGATTTCTTAGAGTAAATATAGAAACTGACTTTTTCAGATGTAGAAAAATCTGATAGCTGCTACATTATACATCAAAGAACCACACTATTTTGTTTGAGATGGTGAACCACAAAACCCCCCTGGCTACAGTATCAATAAATAATTTTAATTATCTTTTCCCTGAAGCTCTCAAATTTAGAAACAAGGTAATTACCAGGTTTTGTCTGTGGCATTTTTGGAAGATCGGAAGGTTTAGATCCAGAACAAATCGGCTGCATTTCTTTAGAAGCTATGATAAAAGGAATAACCAGGTCTTTAATTACAGAGGGTCACTGGAAAGACACTAAGCTCAAAGAAAGTAAGTGCCTGAAACAACAACATAAAAGCAAGCCAACCTCTATGGTACATATTGCACAAATAATCCAAAGAAGAAACACTGCTGAAGGACAGAAGGGTGTTTGGAGCTTAAATAGCATCAATTGTGCATATGCAGAACCACCAGGCTAAGGAAGATGTTAATAAACATCTAACCAACAATGAAAGTTCATCTGCTTTGTAGTTAAACAAGAATACCCATAAATCTCATATTATCACCCTCTATAGCAGTGCAAAACAGCATAGCTTAAGACACTGTGAAGGAAAATGAAGGAGTGAAGTAAGGTATAAACAACACAAGTCACCATTACCCAATGTTGCTGTGGGCTTTAGAAGTGGGGGAAAGGTTTTGGTTTTGGGTAGTTCTTGAAGCTTGCTTGTAACTGTAAGTGAAAAAGGAGAGGGGAAGTACATTGATGGGAGTCAGTAGAAACCTGGGGAGAAAAAAGGACTTAAGTAACATTTGCAGTTCTCTTTATATAGCAAAGCAGAGACAGAAAAGTACAAAACAAGGAACAAAGGGAGGGTGTAACTTGGGCAGCAGTCGTGGGTGCCGACTTAGGGGTAGGGGTGCAAAAATAACAGCTGCCACTGCTCTAAGGTTTTTCAAGGTGCATAGCTGCCCTGGTATGCTTATTACCCAATATTCCCTGGGGCTTTAGAGCTGGGGAAGGGGTTTTGGTTCTACAAAATGTTGCAAGCTTATTTGTCACTGTAAAGGAAAACAGAAAGAGAGAAAGGACAAACAACACTGATAGAAGGCAGAAGAACTCTGGGGGGGGAAAGAAAAGATTTTTCATACAGAAAAAAACAGTTTTCTGGCAAAATAAATTGAAACTAGGGGGAAAAATTACCATTATCCAATGATAGAGAAGTGGGGGAGATGTTTTGGTTTTAAGAAATTCTGGAAGTTTGCTTGTAATAAAGTGGGGGGAAAAAGAAAGAGAGAGAGAGAAAATGCAGCTTTGGTGCAAGTCAGCAGAAATGTGTCTGTGGGGGGGAATGATTTGTTAAGAAACACCAGCAGTTTTCTTTATAAAGAGTGTAGAATAAACAGATGAACTGAAAACAAGAAAAGTTACTATTACCCAGTGATTCTGTGGGCTTTTGAAGTGGGAGAGATGTTTTAGTGACAAGAAACTCTGGAAGTTTGCTTGTAGCTGTAAGTAAAAAGGGAGAAAAAAGAAAGAACACTACTGACATGAACCAGTGGAAACCTGGGGAAAAAATGCTCAAAACACTTGTAGTTCTCTTTATATAGTGCAGCAGAGACAGAACAAGAAAAATCACCATTACCCAATGATTTTGTGGGCTTTTGAATTGGGGGAGATGTTTTAATTTTAGGGTCTTCTGGAAGCTTGCTTGTAACTGTAAGGGAAAAAGAAGAAGGAAAGTACTACATTGAGGGGAGGCAATAGAAATCTTGGCAAAAAGGATTCTATTATACAGTGTTACAAACAAAACAAGTGGAAAACAAGAAAAAAAATCACCATTACCCAATGATCCTGTGGGCTTGAGAAGTGGAGGCGATGTTTTAGTTTTAGGAAATTCTGGAAGCTTGCTTGTAACTAAGTGAAAAAAAAAGGAGAGAAAGAGAAAGAGCACAATAGAGATGCGGGTCAATAGAAATTTGAAGTAAAAAAAAAGGATTTGTTAAGAAACACATGTGGTTTTTTAAATAAAGGTAGCATAGGCCCAAAATAAACCAAGAGCAAGACAAGTCACCATTACCCAATGTTCCTGTGGGCTTTAGAAGTGGGGGAGAGGTTTTGGTTTTAGGAAGTTCTGGAAGCTTGCTTGTAACTGTAAATGAAAAGAAGAGGGACAGTATGTTGATAAGTGTCAGTAAAAATCTGGGGGGTAAAAAGACTTAAGAAACACTTCCAATTCTCTTTACATAGTGTAAAGACAGAAAAGCTGAAAACAGAAAAGTTGCCATTACCCAATGTTCCTGCAGGTTTTCGTAGTGGGGGAGATGTTTTTGTTTTAGGAAGTTCTGGAAGCTTGCTTGTAGCTGTAAGTGGGAGTAAAAAAGAGAGAGAAGGTATAACAAAAGGTGAGAGGCAGTACAAATCTGGATATATATGTCTTAAGTCATTCAGGAGTCCTTTTTATGGAGCATAATGAAATCAGATACCAAAGAACACGTGTCTACTTTCCAGGTTCAGTAAAAGTTTGCTACCTGTTTCCTTTATATTTCACTTGTATTTCTTCATTACAGAGGCATATTTATTTTCATATTTTATATTTATTTGTTTCATCTTTGGAAATGTAGGTCAAATTTTTGAGTAACTAGAGGCTAAATGTTGAAATTTTATCTTTAGATCTGTGTTCACAATTTGTATGGATTTGTATGTACAGTCCAGACAGTGCAGTTAATATTGTGACATTTTGTAGTGTAACTTTCTGGATATAGGAAAAGTGTGGCTGATGCTTCTGGTTGTGGAACTATGATGATGAGGGTAAACTTTATGAGGCCTTTCTATTAGTTTGCTTCAGGAAGAAAACATATTATTTGTGATATAGCAAGCCTTTGAAAATCATCACAATAACACACATCGTTCTACAGAAGTGTCAACTAATAGCATCCCTTATTTTAAATATTAGTGAAAAAATACTAATATTACTAAAGGAATCTCCAGTATAGTAAGCAATGTTATTGACACTCATTGGGGTGCTCTCCCAGAATCAGTTATTTCATCTTAGCACATCTAGGACTAGATACTACGGTTATGCGAAGCTTCGGTAGCCGATTCAATTCAGAGGAGGCTCGGCCTGATTTGGCAGCCGAATCTCTGAATCTGAATCGAATCAGGAGACTCATTAAAAGGTCCAAATTGATTCAGAAAATATTTGGAAAGATTCGGAGATTCGGAAGGCAGGCCTGCAGGAAACAGAAACTGAGAAGAGAGAGCAAGGAGGTGGGAGCAGTGTCTGCACCTGCACCACCTCCACTAACACCAGAAATGATCACCAGCACCAGCATGACAGTCTACACCCCAATTTCAGTTCCCAGCATGAGCCTTCCAGTGCCAGAGGAGGAGCTAGTTCTGGAAAAAGAGGAGGTGAGGGCCATAGTTAATGAAATTCTGGGGAAAAGGAAGGGATCTGAGTTTGTACTCCACACCCCTAAAAGTTCCCCTATAGGCACTTTTGGAAGGCACTTCAGCGTAGGTTGTGGGGGCAGGTGGCTCAGCTCCTCCTGTTGTTGTGCCTCTGCCTGATGGGGATGGGGATAAGGCAGGATCCCCACCCTCAACCCAGAAGCAGGTGGTTAGTGTAGTGTGGGATCATTCTAAGCTGGCAGATGATCCCAGGTATGCTACCTGCCAGCACTGCTGAAAGCAGATCAGCTGGGGCAAGGATGTGAAACACTTCACCACTGTGGCAATGCTACTGCATCTCGGGAGGCAGCACCCCCTTGCCCTTGTTCCTCCTCAGCCTGGCACCAGTGGGAGCATGCCCAGAAAGAATTCCCCCTCTTGCTCCAAAGCCCCCATCCCCCAAGAAGCAGAGGCAGGCCATCCAGGACCAGTGAGGGAAAGGTGGAGACAAAGGGGACATTAGAACTTAGGCTGGCAACAAAAATTAAGGACAACAAAAAGTCCTTCTTCAGGTACACAGGGAGCAAAAAAAAGGCGCAGGGTGGCATAAGACTCCTACAGGAAAGACAAGGGCAGTTGGTGACAGATAGGAGGGACAAAGCAGAGCTCTTCAATGAGTTTTTTGCCTCTGTAGTCTTGAACTCAGATCTAGACAAATCTCCCAAATGCATTACTGACAGAAGCAAGAGGAACACCAGACCACCAACTGTCAGTGCCAACCTAGTAAACAGACACTTGGAGGGACTGGATCTATTTAAGTCAGTGGGACTGGATGAGTTGCATCCAGTGGTGCTGAAAGAATTAGCCAGTGTCATAGCAGAGGCACTGACATAACTGGTTGAGCACTCATGGTGCTCAGGTGAGGTCTCAGAGGATTGTAAAAGGGCCAATATAGTCCCTATTTTCAACAAGGGAGGAAGGAGGATCTGGGAAACTATAGACCAGTTAGTTTCACCTCTATCCTTGGGAAAACCCTTGACAAAATTATCAACAATCACATTTGTAGGAGTCCAGCAGATAATATAATGCTGAAGGGCAACCAGTATGGGTTCACAGCAGGTAGATCCTGCCTGACTAACCTTGTTTCTTTCTATGACCAGGTCACTAAATCCTTAGATGCAGGAGTCAAGGTAGATGTCATCTACTTGGACTTTAAAAAGGCTTTCAACAGGGTGTCCCATCCTGTTGTCATAAACAAACTGAACAGTTGTGCCATAGACGATTACATGGTCATGTGGGTGGGAAATTGGGTTAAGGGTCGTACCCAGAGAGTGGTGGTGGATGGGTTGGTATTGACCAGGAAAGATGTGGGCAGTGGTATCCCCCAAGGCTCAGTCCTTGGGCCGGTGCTGGTCAATAGCTTCATCAGCGACCTGGATGAGGGCGTGGAAAGCACTCTGTCCAAATTCTCAGATGACACCAAACTCTGGGGTCAAGCAAACATACTGATGGGAAGAAACCAAATCCAGGAAGACCTGGACAGGTTAGAGAAGTGGGCAGAGAACAATAGGATGCAGTTCAACAAGGACAAGTGCAAGGTGCTGCACACCTAGGGAGAGGGAATCACCAGCACACCTATAGGCTGGGGGATGATCTTCTCAGCAGCACGGCAGCAGAAAGAGATCTCATATTCATTGTCAATATGAATACAAGTCATCAATGTGACAAAGTAATTACCTCAGCAGCACGGCAGCAGAAAGAGATCTCATATTCATTGTCAATATGAATACAAGTCATCAATGTGACAAAGTAATTACCAGAGCTAACTGCACTTTGTCATGCATTAGTAGGTTCATCACAAACAGGTCCAGGGAGGTGATGTTTCCCTTCTATGTGGCACTGGTCAGGCTGCAGCTGGAGTACTGCATCGAATTCTGGGAACCACAATTCAAGAAAGATGTGGACAACAACCTTGAGAGGGTCCAAAGGAGGTTAGAGGCCTGCAGGGAAGGCCTTATGAGGAAAGGCTGAGGGACCCGGACCTTTTCAGCCTCCTCAAGAGAAGGTTGAGGGGGAATCTTGTGGCAGTATACAAATTCACTAGGTGGGGAAGGGGTAGCAGGGAATAGGAGATGCTCTGTTTACCACAGCACCCCTTGGAATAACCAGAAACAATGGCCACAAGCCGTAGATAAAGAGTAGAGTTAGGTTGGATATCAGAAAGAACTTCTTCACGGTTAGGGCTGCCAGAATCTGGAATGGGCTTCCAAGGGAAGTGGTGCTGTCCCCTACCCTGGGGTCTTCAAGAAAAGTGGGGTGCGCCCCATGATGAGCGACATCACCCAGAGCATTGGGGAGATGCTTGCTGTGGATAGGCAGCCCTTCTTCTTTGTTGAGTGTCCAGGGTTCAGGGAGCACATGGCGCTCGTGAACCTATCCTACCAAGTGCCTGCATGCACCACCCTTAGCAGGACAGTGGTGCCCTCCCTGTACGAGGCATGCAAGGAATACTTGAGGGAGAAGCTGCACAGGGCATGGCTGCAGGTAGTTTTGCACTTCACCTCAGGCATCTGAGTGCTCCTTCACAGGGCACTGATGCGATCAGTCAGGGCTTTGGTGGGCTCTCCTTCAAGTGAAGGTGATGGGAGATCATGGTGGCCATGAACCACATGGTGCAGGGGTGGCTTGCCTGTGGGTTCACGGTCACTGACAATGGGGCCAACACGGTGAAGGTGGTGCATGATGCCAACTTTGTTGGCATCCACTGTGTGGCACACAAGTTCCAACTCATAATCAGGGATGCCTTGGAAGGGGATAGGGCTCCTGGTGACAGTGCCATCACTACCACTAACAGCCAGCTTATTTCAAAATGCAGGAAGGTGGTGGGCTATTTCTACCACAGCATCAGGGGGGGCAGATGCTGTAGGACAAACAGGCAGAGCTGAGCGTCCCACAGCACAAAATCATGCAGGATGTGGAGACTCAGTGGAACTCCACATACCTGATGGTCAAAAGGCTGGTGGAGCAACAGAAAACCATCCAAAAGACAGCTTTGCTTGGGGAGATTGGGATCAGTGGCCCCCTTAACAAAACACAGTGGGAGACCATCTCTCAGATCGTGGTGATCCTTAAGCCATTCCTTGAGGCCACTGAGAACCTCAGTGCTGGTGATCCCTTCCTTAGCCAGATGATCCCCATAGTGAAGGAGCTTGAGAACCAAATGGAAAAGTTCCAGGGAATCAGTGTTCCTGGCTGGGGCAAGCTGCTTTCACCAGACGTGCAGGAACTGGTGAAGCAGCTGAAGGAGAACATAAAAAAAGGCTCAATCTGTTGTGGTCTAGTACAGTCCACGTGCTGGCAGGTATATGCAACCTGAGGTTGAAGGGGAGCATCTGCAGCAGCAAAACCCTCAATTGCTGGAGAGAGGTGCTCATGAACAGAGTCAGGGAGGCAGAAAGGCAGAGGCGGGGGGAAGTGGAAGAGAGGGATCCACTTTCCCGTGCCAGCACTCCAACCACCAGCCAATCTCCTCCACCATAGCTGCTGCCAATGTGGGCCAAGGGCATGGCTTCAATGTTGGAGTCCAGAGGCACCAGACCCCACCATTCGGCAGATAGCGAGGAGGCCTCGGTGGCTACCTATCTGAGTATGTGGAGCCGCTGCACTGTGATCCCTTGGTCTATTGGACATCCCACAACCGACCAGTGTTCCAAGTGAGATGGTGTTCAGCATTGCTGGTGATGCTGTGATACAATGCCACACCTCCTTGGATCCTGGTTTGGTGGAACAGCTGATGTTCCTGAAGGTGAATCTCCCATTGCTGGGGTTCCCCAAGCTCCACATGCAGATGGGGTAAGTGCCACCCTCCTCACCCTGTCTGCACCTATTTGCTTTTTAAATTTGCTTTCGGAACCATTTAATTCCCTGCTCTCAGAGCTAGAGGCAGCAGTTTAGTTTATCACCAGCCAGAAGGAGAAGAAAATTTCCCTGCTGAGCTCCTGTGCCAGGACCAACTTGGAGGTATGGGCTGGGGCTATGGGGAAGGAGGAGGTCCTGGGCATGACCTAAAACTGTACTCTGCCAGGGTAGGAAGGCCTGGTGGGACTGCCAGTGGTCCAGCAGCCCCAGGAAATTCCAGGACTGTGAAAGGCAGGTAGGGGGTGTCTGATAACCTCCAGCCACCACATGTACATGCAGTCCTGGCTGGGGAAAGCCCAGACCTGTAAGATCTTTGAGAGGCCTGAGGCTTACTGGTTGCAGTGGAGTTGTGAGAGTGAAAACAGGCAGGTGGCTCAGATGCGACCTGAGGTACCCTCGAATGGTCTGTGCTGGGACCAGGACCCAAAGGGAGGTTGAAGGGCCAGGAGCCCACTGCGATGAATGCCCAGAGCAAAAGGCTCAGGATTCCAACTGACCTGAAGGCAAGGCCAGGGCCTAACAGGGAGCCAAAGGTCCCAGAGAGGGGACCACACCTGGAGGGGGTGAAGAATGCAATCTGTGAGGCATGGACCACAGTGTAGAGAAGGTATGGAGCTGTGGAATGAATGTCACCCCTAGACATCAGGGGCCTAAATGGGCAGCCTCCCTCCTAAGTAACATCTGAATCAGTTTTCCATCAAGGTGTGGCAGATGAAAGAGGGGTGGGTGGTTGGCTCAGAAACAGGTGGGTGGGCTGAGATCTAACCAGCACCAGGAAAGCCCCCTGTTACAGGCTACCATCCCTGCTGCATTCATCCCACTCTGCCTTAACACACACATGGCAGACAAGGTTCTTTGGGTCAATCTGATATTTTTTATTAGACCAACTATATAGTTGGAAAAATATATCTTAGCAAACTTTTGGGTTTAAAAACCCTTCGTCAGGCTGAGGAAGCATCTGCAGTTGGTGTGTGTGCTGCTCCTGGATGGAATGAATAGTAAAGGAGCCAGAGGCTGGTATGCATGCAAGAAAGCCCATCAGTGAAAATGTAAACAGAGGTGTCAGGGGGTGAGAGAGAGGCTGTGGGGGGGAAGGGTGGCAGGGAGAAAGGGGTATGTAGCAGGTAAAAGTGGAGAGGTAGCTGGGGAGTCAGATGTCAGGCAAGTTATAGTGTGTCATAAATTCAATGTCTATATTGAATCCATGAGTTTCTGTACCTAGGAGGTTGATGAAGTAAAGCTCATAGGCTCATCTGTGAAAGGTGTTTCGTAAATTCCCTTTGAGAATCAGGACTGATAGATTGGAGAGAGAGTGGTTTTCTTGTGAGAAATGTACCTCCACTGGTAATTGGGTGTTCTTGTCTTTAATAGATTTCCGGTGTGCTTTCATTCTGGTGCACAGTTGTTGTTTGGCCTCTCCTATGTATTTTCCATCAGGGCATTTGGTGCACTGGATGAGATATATAATGTTTCTGGAGGTGCAGCTGTAAGATCCAGGAATGGTGATGGTTCTGTTGTAGGATGTAGTAATTGTGCGGGTACTGGAGATATGTTGGGAGGTTTTGCATTTCTTGTCATGGCGTGGTCTGGATCCATTTGCTGTGTTTTGGGCTGTAGGAAGTTTGCTTCTGGTGATGAGGTTAGCAAGGTTTGGTGCTTGTTTGAATTTACAAAACACTTTTCACAGACCAGCCTATGAACTGCACTTCATCAACCTCCTAGGTACAGAAACTCATGGATTCAATATAGACATTGGATTTATGGCACACTATAACCTACCTGACATCTGGCTCCCCAGGTAACTCTCCACTTTTACCTGCTACATCCCCCTATGCCCTGCCAGTCTGTCTCTTACCCACTGATGCCTCAATTTACATTTTCACTGACTGGCTTTCTTGCATGCATACTATGAAGAGCACATACCAACTGGAGGGTTTTTAAACCTGAAACCTGAAAGTTTGCTAAGATATATTTCTCCAGCTACTCGGTTGATCTAATAAAAGATATCAGATTGACCCAAAGAACCTTGTCTACCTGTGTCCGTAGACCAACACAGCTACAACTGACTCCCCTTAACATACACAAGTGATGCAAGTTTTGCTTTCGACGGTTTGAGGTGCACTTAAACAGAAACCCCTGCACCTATCTCCTTGAAACTTAGCAGGCTTCATGCCCTGAGAAGGGGCTATAATCCCAGCTGTTTTCATGTGAATCTGCAAAAAAAATGACAACTTTATATGTATTTTAGTGATTCCCCATTATAGTCTATGGCCAAATCTCCAAATCAGTACCGAATCTCCGAATCTGATTCAGCCAAATCGAATTGGGACAGTGACTCGAATCACTGAATCCAATTACTGTCCCTCTGAATCTGCTGAATCCAAATCTGAATCGAATACTTGCTGTTTTGCACAGGTCTACTAGATACTTCCTTATGTTTTAATACAGTGCATGAACCTACGCAACCATAGGTATGTGTTACAACATACAACAACCATATCTAGTATCTGTGATATGTAAATTACTATCCATATGCATAAAGGGACAGAGTATATTTTAATTAAGATTTCCTTCAGCACAGCTTTCTTCTAAGAAGTAGTTCTAAAAGGTAGCAGAATTTTGGAGAGGAAAAAAAAGTGAGTACTAGCTGTAGAAACTGAGCCACAGCCAAATTAGTTACCCAGAGTGGTTGGAGTGTGTGCCAGTTCAGGTTTAGAAGTTGATTTAGTTTCTTCAAGTCTACTGGCTCTCTCACTGTGAGCTGGAAAAAAGGACCCAGATTTATTTTTTATTCCTTGTAAGCATTGGTTTAAGTCACAGTCACTGTTCATTGTTTGTTTATTTAATGGTAGACATCAATCTACACTGGAGGATTTTTGAATGACTCCTGTAGTGGCACAGCTCCATTGTCATTAAACTGGTTACTCCAGGAAGCCCAGCATGGATATAATATTTTAGATTCCTTCTGTTGCAGTTATATACAAGCAATAGGAAAACAGAAACCCCAAAGAATAAAGCTGAGATCAGTAGCTCATGAGGTGTTTTTTCAAAAGCTTGCCAAATTCAATACCTTACATGCTATAAACAAGATTGCATTACAAGTGATACATGTAACACTTTGCCTGCTGGAGTGAAGGTTTTATCCTTCTACCACCAAAAATTCATGATAGAAAGGACTAAGGATCATCTACACCAGTAGCAGTCAACCTTCTTGGCAGACATGCTACTAATTAGCCCTCCCCACAAATGCCATTCCAGTCTCTTTCCCCTGCCTGATCTGCTGCTCTGTTTTCTGCTTCCTGCCCCAGATTCCCTGCCTGATCTAATGCTCTGCTTTCTGCTTCCTGCCTTATCTGTCACTGTGCTGCTATTCCCTTCCCCAGTCTGCTGTATGCCACATGCAGAGGCTTCCTGTGGTGCCACAGGTTGGCTGCCCTTGACCTCAGCTCTTCCCTTTGTCCAACAATAACATTGCAGCAAAGCATTTTAGCCACTCTGTTCTTTACTTCACATGTCACAGATAGCTTGCAAAATATTTATTCACTATAACAAGCCAAATTGGTACCCATATTTTATCAGAGCAGATTAAGACCACACACACCCAGTACTCCTGCTTGACTTGCATAACTGGGTAAGAATGATGGAGTCAAGGCCATTAGCAGCTGTTGTATACAGCTGTAGATGTCATCCAGAAAACCTACAGAGAGTAGGGACTCACTCCATGGGTCCTGTTTTAAGAGCTGCAGATGAATGTTCCAGGATAAAAAGAATATGGATGAAAATCAGCAGCATTGCTCAAATCATGAGTCTCCAGATACTTGGTGTTTTGCTTATAGTGCCAGCTCACAAAATCATAGATTTTAGGACCAGACAGGATGCCTAACCTGTTCTTGCCTCCTATATATCACAGGCCATTACATTACACCCACTTATGGTTGTAGTGAGACCAATAATTTGTTTTTAACTAACTCATATCTTCCAGAACGACATCCAGTCTTTATCTGAAGCCTTCAAGAGCAGGAAATGGCTTGTTCCTGGACTTAATTATCCTCACTGTTTAAAATGTGTGCTGTGTTTCTCATTTGAATTTGTCTGACCTTGACTTTGATCCATTGGCTCTTATTTTGCCTTTCTTTATGAGATGAAGCAGCCCTTTACCCCACAATTTTCAAACCATGAAAGTGCATAATCATCATAATCATATTGCCTAGCATTTTTCTAATGAGTTAAAAGGTTCTTAACAGTTTCATGACCCTCTCCATTTTAATACATCCACTGGAGAGAGATCACATGCAACAGGCAAGGAGGGGTTCTGCCACTGCAGCAGCAACTTGTATATAAAAGAATCTGAAACTGATAAATTCACCTTTTTGTCAGTACCACTTACAGCTGCCAATTTAAATCAATCTTTTTACATGGTGGATCCATGCTGAGCCTGGACAAAGGGGCCTGCATAAAGTCTGTCAAGTGCACATCAGTTAACTGGCATAGTCCTTCATGTGTTAAGAGCAACATGAATTCCCGCAATGAACAGTGTTACCCTGTATGCTGTCTGTGTAGATATTTAGAGGATACTTTTAGATTGGTTTTGTTTTCACTTGGAATGAATATATTTGTGCAGCAATGATGTCACTCAGAAAAACAAATTCCCTCAATGGCAGCAATTTGCAGCCTACAATTGGAAATTTTACTTTGTTTTTATAGGATCATGAAATATTTAAGGTAATTTTAACCTTTTAAGTCAGGGTTTATTTTTTTAAAGGATTTAAAATATAGTATGAGTAAGTTATTGAATTCTGAAATTAAATTTTATAGGCCTGTTAAATCAATATCAGGAAGCTCGTTCCCAGCATTGCACTGGAAGAGAGATTTAGCTAAGCATTGCATGCAGCAGGCTTTGGAAGCCCTCACTCTTCAATGGAGGTACCATAAATGCAATATTTACCCAGTTTATTCAATGGCAATTCAGGCTTAGGGGTCATACTAGGTTTTGCAGAATCCAGTACACTGTCACTGTGAGCTACAATAAATATGAGTTATTTTTGCTTATGCTATACATGCAATACATTTTACTCAATACACATGCGAAGCAAGCATCAAGACAGATCTAATAAGGTTGGTCTGAAAGCTGTGTTGTGTCACTTCATGAAGGTAGCATGCCGTTTTCCACCATCAAGCTCCATAGACCTTATAATGCAAAAAAAGTTATGATGGTTTCTACTTTGAAGTGGAGATCAGTGCCACAAACTTGCAACACATGCTGTTTCTTTAGAACCCAGATCCACTTCCACTGAACTCAGTAGAAGTGCTGTAATTGCCATCAGTGGAAGAGAGGTTCAACTCCAGGGGAGAGATTAACATAAGCAAATTAACTTCCTGAGTGCTTTGGGACAAAACACTAACAGAGAGGGAGAGAGAGAAGTATAACACATGCACAACAGTATGCTTCAGAAGTACTTAACAGGTTAGCATGTCTTATGGTTAAATGCAAACATAAAATAAGCATGCAAACACTCTCAGGGTTCTTCTTCTTTTCAGGGGTCAGCTGTTTTTGTTTTAATACAGTGCATGGACCTGGCAGCCAAGTTAGCCAAGCCATCTCTATAAAAAAGGAAAGGCATGTCAGAGCTTTCCAGAAGTAGAATAAAAGAAACCAGGCTCTTTGCTGTTCTTGCACAGAGGGCGGGAGGAACAGAGGGAAGCAATGTGAGCCATTCTTGTAAGAAAGGGACATAGAAAGCAGAAAGTTTGATGATTAAGAATAAAATAAAAATGGACAATTAGGGTTTACCCAAAGATGCCTCTGATTTTTCTAGGGCACCAGGCACAGTAGGCATAATGCTTTCCTGGAGTGGTTCACTGGTACCTGCAAGATGAAAGGTTAACAAAACAGAGTGAGAAAAGACGGTCTAATATCAAGGGATAGAATACAGGAAGAACAGATATGGAAAAAAAAAGGATTTCTTAATCTTTATATTCCTGATATGCAATTACAACACTGCTTTAAAAAAAGAAAAGAAAAAAAACCCCCAAAGTGAAGAAAACCCCAACCAAACGGAAAACCTTACCAAATGCTTTAGAGGAGTTCTGCACGAAGACCATCTCATTATTGGAATGTATTCACTATTCTAAGTACAAGAAAGTACAGAGGATAACTACAGGCTGAAATATCCTGTTTACCATAGCAAATAACGGGAAGTTTTTAAAACCAATCAGTATGATTGTATTTTACTTCTGAATAGATCTCTTGACACACTGATCTTTTAGTATGTCCCCTTTGGCTGAAGGAATTCCACAGTAAAGGTCTTCAGTGGTTAAAACAAGATAAAGCTATGGCCACCTTATTGCTAACTCACCCACAAATAGAAGCAAGTTGCTTAACTGTTTTGAATCTCATTTTACAAGTTCATAAAATGAGATTAAAATATTCACCACTCTCAAAGATTATACAAATCTACCAAGCACTTACAATCTCAACTAGCACTTCACAAAAATCAAAAACACTGGATGCTAATATTTCATACAAAGAGTTGAGTAATGAAGTACTGAAGGCATTCTGCTGGGTAATTAAACCAAGAAAAAATTATTAAGAAAGAGATTTATTTATATTACATAGCAGATTTGCTCTGATGAATTAGTAGTAGAACACACACAAGCCCTTATACAAAAGAGAGCAATAGCTTGGACCATCGTTCAAAGCCAATTTTCCCATGTTCCACACCAAATGCATAGATTCTTCTAACCATGGCCCGCTCTGGTCCCATCTGAAGTCAATATAAAGATTCTTGCTGGCTTTATGCAAAGTTCAATTGGGAATTATGAAAGAGAAGAATGTGCTAGTTGTTTGACTAATTTAGCAAAGCAATTTAAAGGGTGAGGGAACATAAGAAAGCATTGAGGAATATGGGTTGCCGTGTTCAGAAAACATTCCAAAGTGGAAAATACTGTAACAGGCTTGGCAGAAATGAGGCGTGGAGGAGATCATCTAGCAGTCTTTCCATGGACTCTCATGCCAAAGGAGAAGAGAACTGAAAATAAGAAAATGGTAGGATGCCTGGCTTAAAAAAATAGTAGCAAAACAGTCACTGCAGCCAGTCAAACAGTGCAATGCAAACCCTTGGGCAGAAAACTCTATGGTATAACCAAATAGAATAGTACTCAAGGTCATGGAACCTTGTAGACAGCTCCAGTGGCTGAACATTCTGATACCTTTTCTTCTTTTAAGGAAAAGGGAAAAATGGGGATGATGTTCTGCAGTGGACTCTCTGAATATTCCGTTGCCACTGCTAGGACTAGTTCTCCTTAAATATGTCATAGTAAATATCTACAGGGAATGTCTACACGTGCATTTACACCAGCTTAAATTTACTGCACAGTAAGTTAATATGCCTTAACGCCTACACATGTAGACATCAGCCTATGTGCAGCTTAATATGCAGTAACCTATTGCACAGTAAGTGGGAATAGGTTGGGGTTTACACCTGCAGGCATTAAAGTTCATTATTGTTGTGTGTTAGAACTAACTTTAGTCTCAAGTCATTCCACACACACACACAGTTACTACGCAGTAAGATGCTACTGTTCAGTAACTGATGATGTAGGTATCAAATTTATGCTCAAGTTGGCATAAGTCACCATATTTACTATGTAGTATGGGCATGCACGTGTAGATATGAACCAGTACTGCACAGTAATTTCAGTTACTGTGCAGCAAATGCACACACGTAGATGAGCCCACAGTGTCTCAGCCAAAAAGACTCAAGTCAGTTAAGGGTAAGACATTGTACACAGGGTTAGAAACTCTGTGGGTGTGTCTACACAAGACACGATTGTGCAGTCATTACTAAGTATTTATTTAGTACTTGTATTAGCAAATGTCTTTTAGGTGACGCTACTGTGCAGTAGCCTAATGATACTACACAATACCAATATTTTCAAGCTGTGCTCAGACAGGATTGAACGACATGAAGCCTAGCCTTAGTTAATTGTGTCCCACACTTCCTGCCTCCCTCAAGACCTACCTTTCAATACACAACTTCCAAAAGCCTTTGATCTTAGTTCATATATGTACAAACTCAAATACTCAACACAAACTGTGGGTATGTCTACACATGCATTTGATCCAGGATTAGTTTACTTGCAAGCAAGCTACTCATGAGTAAATACTCCTGAGCAGGCATCTACACGTGCAAGGAAGTGGGAGCAGATTTGCTCCTAATGGCATCAAACTGCTCCCATTTTGTGTGGTCCTGTAATGGGCCCCTGCTATTATCAGGGGAGCTCTAAGCTCCCTCTGGGTGATCGCCCAGGGGCTGACAGGGAGCACCGGGCTAAGAGATAGCTGTCTCCTGGCAGGGGCTGGGACATTATACCCTGCCCCAGTGGCTGCCTTCTGCCAGGGTGGGGGACAATGCCCCCCTGCCCCAGCAGCAAGGAGCTCCTGGCTCCTCAATCAGAGGCAGGAGATTTGCAAAGGGCTGCAGGGGGAGGGGCAAGTCCCAGCCCCCTGCCCCAATCTGCTGGTGGGGCAGTTCGAGGTAGGGGGATGGGATCTACCCCATCAATACAGTTCTTTCCAAGTCCTGCACCTTGATCAGGACAGTTCCTAGCTCCCACCCAGCTCGCAGAGGGAGGCTGGTGAGCCTGTTTCCTACTCAGCTCCATTGGCACAGTGTTGGGTGGGGAAGAGACTCCATAGCCTCCAACAAAGGGGGACTCCCAGGGCCAGCTCCACACCATGGGGCTCTTAGCACTGGTTTCATGGCTGTGAGGCCAGTGCCAGCTCCCTGACTGTGGGGCCTGTGCTGGGAGACCCTGTATCCCAGCCCCTGCTTCCTGATCTTCCAGCCCCTGCTTCCCAATCATGATCTCAGAGCAGGGGGCTTGGAACTCCACACCCAGGAGACATAGTCCCCGCCCAGGCTCTGGTGGTAGAGTGTGCCCCAGGAGCAGGCAGCTCCTGGTGACAGGGAGAAATTTCCTGCCCCCTAGTGGGCAGCTAACTGGGAGCAATGGTTCCCAGTCAGTCATCTAAATAAATGCTACTGTGCTGTTACTAATCAAAAGTAAATTTGCTACTAGCATTTGCAGGTAACAAATTTATGCACGATTAGCAAGGTTTACTGGGGGCATCTACATGTATCGCTATGGCGACATTGTTACGGTGCCGTGATTTAGTGCTTCCTTTTGCAAGTACTAAATCACAGCATAGTAACAGCCTGTTCTGTGCTGTATGTGTGGTGCAGTTATTTTTAGCAGCTACTTTCCCGTAGCAGCATGCTATACTGGGAAACGCATCGCTACGGCAAAGTAGCTGCTGGTCACGTGCAGATGCCTGCAGACACTACATGGTCATAGCATGTTGCTACAGTGATGTAGCATCATGTCTAGATGCACCCACTGTGTAGTAAGTATGTGCACATGTAGACACACATGCTTACTTCACAGTAAACTATGTTACTGCACAGTTATGCATCTCATGTAGATGCACCCTGTAAGCATAAAGAGCCTAGTGCTAGACATGCAAGGATCGCTTTCCTGAACTGTATTCTAATGGAATTCTCTATTTGACTTTTTTTTGCATACTCAAATATTACTTAATATTTTCAGGCTGCCCTGAGAACAATTAGGTTATGCTTATACAATGTTTGAGAGAGCGTAATAAATAAATGCAATAGTGCTCCATCACAAAGGAAAATAGAAAACTCTCCATCCTTGAAAGTTTCTCAGAGAACATATAACCCTCTTGTGAAATTCTAGCTTGAAAGCATAACAATTCAAGCAAATATCTGTGGCTACACACAAATACCACATAGGACATGTACAGACGAGTACACACATGCAGTTTGTGGCACCTCAAAGTAGTCTGAGATGCCACAAACCACACACAGATCATGGTACTTGTTTGACGCACTGTTAATTTGCAGTGGCAGGCTTTGTTTGACACCGGGAGATCTGCTTTTTTCTGTGCCTTTTTTGTTTTGACACCAGGAAATCCCGGTGTAAAAAAAAAAAGGTCATTGAAAAGAGCGGTACAATGCATGAGGCAGCAGTGTGCACCACCAGAAATGGAGCCTGGCTGGCCAGAGCCATTGTCTGGCTGCTGGCCAGGCTCTGAATGGCTGGATTGGCACTGATGCTGCCCAGGAGGCTCCTAGGACCACAGGTAAGACTGCTGGAGCCAGCACAGGTGCTGGCCCCAGCCTCCCCTACCCCAACCAGAAACAATTTGCCCCACACCAATCCCATGTGCAAGGATATGTGCAGTGGCAAATAGCAGTGGCACAAATTTTGCTGTGACAACTGCACACCCCTGTATGTGGGGATGTGACCACAGTCATAATTCGTTTCTCACTCTTAAAGATTTTGGATAACTACAATCCTGGAACACAGAGCTACCCAAAGTATTGAATAGAAACAATATGAAACACCAAGAAACAGATCCATGAACACAAAAGAGTATATCCACTGGTACTTTAAGCAAGAGAGAATCACTGAAAGGAAAGATTACTAGAGAAATAAAAAGCAGTATATGGATGTAGCATTTATCATGGTTTATTTGAAAGTGAACATCTGGAATGTCTTAGTAAATAACTAATATGTAATGGTAATAATAGGAACACTTATGCCTTTGGAGGAAATGGATATAAGAATGGTTACCATTAAAAAGGCAGCATTTACTGACTGCAGTCTTGCAACTGAATTTGAAATACCACCTTATCCCACTAATAAAATGGGAAATAACCATAACTGGTTATCTGAACATATGTTGACCTTTTTGGGTTGGTGCTTCTGTAGAATATATACGTATGCACAATTGCAGCATGTAGAGAGAAAACTAAGGATTGACCTATATCCAGAAAACAC